CGGATTCAATTTTTTTGAATCCGCCACCGATCCGTGGGTTTGGTAATCCGATCCGATCCGTACGGATCGGATCGAGTTCACGGATTTGCGGAATTTTTGCCCACCCCTAATCCAAACTAATGAAACAATATTTTCTCACAAAATTCTTCAAAAAATTCCATGCTAATCAAATGGGATAAAAAAAAACTCAATTTTTTTTTTTTTTGTTCTTTTTCTCTCACTTCCCTTTTTTTTCCTTTCACTTTCCAATTTCCATCGTCACTTTCTAGCTAACCAAATTGACCCTCAGTGGTTAATACAAACAATTTTCCATGACAAACACATCAACTTTAAATCAATAAAGTATTAACTATGTAAATTCAATAAATACGTTAAGTGTTGTTTCTTCAATATAAATGTGTTACATAAATATGTTGCGTTAATATTATATTTTTAATATAAATACGTTTTTATTATCTTTCTTACATAAACTAAAGAGATCACATATTAATGTAAACCAATAAGGTGTGCTTGTGACTATAAATAACACAACTCTAACCATTTGAATTCAATGATTCAGAGGGATTTGGTAAGAAAGAAAATAAAGTATAGCGTGAAGAGTGTTTGGATTGTTTTAAATGAAAAGAAAAGAAATGATTTGGAAGGATATGCTATCATTTTAAAAATTAGAAGATTTGGAGAGAAATGATAGTGATTATGTAATACTTTTATAATCTTGAAACTACCGTCAACAATTAAATAAAGAAATTTATAATGACACTTCGATTCCATCTTATAAAAGTGTGCGTACAATAGTAATTTGATTGTTATTTTTTCTTTTCTTTTCTCTCATCTACTTTTTCCAAACAAAAATACTATCATTTCCTTCATAATACATAAATAGAAATTATTATTATCATTTTATTTTTTTTCTCTCTTAATTAATGTTTTTTTTTTCTTTTTCTCTCAAGTTTATCTAAAGAAAGATAAATATTTAGTGTAATAATTCTAATAACGTCTGTCAAAATCCTAAAGTTAAACTCAATCAAGGTTGAAAGGCACACCTTGAGTTATTAAGTGATTGACTATTATACCCTTTTATTAAGAATTAAACCTTTTGTAATCAAGGTTGAATGTACAAGGAGAAAAATGTACGAGGAAAAGCTTCTTCTTCTTTCCTCATCTTCAAATGTAACCCTAATCACTGGAATATCAACATGAAGCTACTTGAATTATTCAAATTATTGAGAACCTTTTAACATGATTTAAATTATTCAGTCATATCCAAATTCCACAATAATTGTGTTTAGTGGGACCCTTACAACATGATTAAAAAATTGAAAGCCCATTAAACAAGTGGTTAGGAACAAAATCAAGCTTGACCTTATATATTGTTATTAATTAGGAAGCAATTTCATTCCAATTTCTCTCGCTAAAGGTTCCCCTTAATTTTTGGGTCCCAAGTCTTAAAACTAGGGCACGTGTCCTTAGCCAAACAAACTGCCAACCTCCGTGGGTCCAACAACTGCTCAGATGTGCACTGTATGTATATAAGCAAAACAAATTTCAAAGGGACACTACTTGAGAGTTGAGCCTCAAAGGCATGTAGTGTGACATTTGCAAGCCTATAATCAATTTCTTTAAGAGAAATTATTATCCCAATATTATTAGGACTGGTGCACCAGATGGGTGGGACATTACCCATTGCAATTTAAACAAGTGGGTTAAACAGTTAATGTTTGTGTGTGTATATATTTAGGATAATGACATCCAATCTTTTAAAATATTTCATAATTTATTATTCTGAGCACGTACAATTCTCTCATTTTACATGTATTATTTAATTATAAATTTTTTTTGATAATATATTTAATATGATATATTGTTATATTATTTTTATAAGAGAAAAATTAAAGAGAGATTTATTGCAAAATGTTACAACTTAAAGGGAAGTTAAATGCAAATTACATTATTTAGAGAATGACTTGAGTTAATGTGAAAAAGAATAAAGAAGTTTTTTATTCTAATTATTATAGGTCACATGAAATTTGGGAACATGGTTCGCTATATCGGTAAATGCGTGACTCTTTTTCATATCCCATGTCCGACTCTTATCGATCAGTTTATATTGACTTTATCCGAATTCGTTATATTGCGATCGTAACTGATACTACGAATTATGGTTATAAAAGAAACCAAGGAGATGCTCATTAGGTCAACTTAATTGTACGTAGTAAGTAATTTGATATTCCACTTATCTAACTTTTTTCTCATTCCGAAGTTCTGGTTTGAAAAACATGCAAAAGTTTTGAAATATGTTCATTGGCAATCTCTATTCTCAAACCTCCAAGGCATGTAGTGTGACATCAAAGCTTATAGGCATGTAGTGTGACCTTATAGGCTTTGGTTTGAAAAACATGCAAAAGTTTTGAAATATGTTCATTGGCAATCTCTATTCTCAAACCTCAAAGGCATGTAGTGTGACATCAAAGCTTATAGGCATGTAGTGTGACCTTATAGGCTTTGTGGGACCTTATGCATTGCAAATTTTTTTTTCCTCTCTGCATTGCAATTTAAACAAGTGCGTTAAACCGTTGATGTTTGTGTGTGTGTGTATATAAATTATTTTTAGGATAAGGCATTCAATCTCTTACAACATTCGATAATTTAGGTTGAAGAACATCGCCAATTTTACATGCATCATTTAATTATCAAAAAAAAAAAAATCTTGAGAATATATTTAATATGATATATTGTTATATTATTTTCATTAGAGAAAAACTAAAAAGAGATTTATTACAAAATGTTACAAATTAAAGGGAAGTTAAATGCAAATTACCTTATTTAGAGAATGACTAGAGTTAGTGTGAAAAAAGGATAAATAAATTTGTTATTTTAATCATTGTATGTCACATGAAATTTGGGAATATAGTTCGTCGTATCGTTAAATATTTAATTTTTTTTTTTGAAGTTTGATATTGATCAATTTATATTAATTTTATCTGAATCAATTGTACCACAATCCATATGTGATCATAATCGATATTGTGAATCACGCTTGAAAAATGACCCAAGAAATATTTATTAGGCCAACTTAATTACACGAGTAATTGATTTGATATTCCACTTATCTAACTTTCCTTTCATCCCGAAGTTATGGTTTGAAAGACATGCAAAAGCTTTGAAATATGTGCATTGACAAATGACCATCCCTATTCTCTGGACATATTAAGCTTGATAGAAAAGAAAAGAAGTAAGACCAATGCTTGGTCCATAAATATAATATATATAAATATATATATTATATGGCATATACCTAAGAATATGCTTTTATTCCTCCATGAAATTTCAAAGATGGATTCCTTGAATCCTTGGGTTCGAAAGAGAAAAAAATGCACATTTGAGCAAGTTACAACCAAGAAGACACAGTAACAAATATACATTGAAAATAAAATCCCTTTCCTATATATATTTAGGTGGCATTTTACAAATCTACCCTATACGAAATGCACAATTTTAATTGGTGGTAAATTTTTTGCCTATTTTTAGTGGTCTAAAAAATATCAAATCTTATAGTTTAAAAAAATAGTGAAGTTTATGATGGTGTTAGTCTTCTCCTTTGAGAATAATAAAAAATAGAAAGCATTCATTGGAATATTAAAACGTAATTAGCCTGATCTTAGTTTTACTTTTAGAGACGAAGTGAAAGAAGGTTGGAGATTATCGAATAAGGAAAAGAATCTAATTATTTTAAAAAAATTGTATGAGGAGTGTAAAAATCTCATGTAAAGTTTTGTTAAGTGACCATAAAAATGACAAATTTTATGTGACGAAAAGTTGGGAAAGAGAATTCGGATCCATAGACACTCCAGCATAAATGAGATTGAACATTAGAACAAAGAAAGTTGCAATTAATTATCTAATTGAATATTTTTTAATTAATTGTTTCTTCAAATGTGGTCCACCATTTGGGTAAAAAAGTTGAGAGTACTTATCAAATTCGGTCGAGTGAGAAGTTGTTGGTCAAAGATCACGTGGATTGATCTGATATTCGACTGATCAATCACATGGGTGATTTCCTCGAACAATGTGCTTTTTTTTTTTTATAGTCCTCTTGAAATTTGATGGTCCTCCACCTTGAAATATGCTAACACGACAAAACTAAGATCAAAATATGCTTGGTTGCAACTTGCAACATAAATCTATGTATTGTAGCAGTAATTGCTTTGACATTTATTTACTTATTTATTACACTATTTATTTTATTTGAATGCCAAAAAAAAAAAAAAAACTCCTCTTAATTCTCTACAATTATTAATGAGAAAACTTAATTTGAGGCTAATGGAATATTTCTTTGTGTTTGTTTTGGACAAACAAAGTGATTGTGAGTTTTAATAAGTTTGACAATATTATATTTTATTTTAAGTAATTATATTTTACTACATATTAATTTTTTAGGTTCCTATTCTTTTCACGTACGACCAATTAATGCATAAAATTTGAGTGCAATAGGAAAAAATAATAGAGGGGACCCAGTTAACCACCGAATAAAAAAGGAAAGTGACATACCAGTGACGCTACTGAGTGAGGGAAGAAGTATATATATACAAGATAAATCTAAACGGCACAATGACTTAAAATTATAAGATAAATTTCGAATATTTACAATGCATGTGAAATTAAACTTTTTAAATGGACAACGTTAAAGCAACTACATTAAGGATAAACTGCAACAAACTCTTCTATAGTTTAAAGTACTAAAATGTCCTTAAATTTTTTTGAAGATTTTTTTTTTAATAAAAAGTTTGACTATTGACATTAAAGTACTAAAATGCCCTTGTTTTTTTTTTTTAAATATAGTGTCATTTTGTGCTGGTGTTTAATATTTGTCATTACTTTGCCACATCATACATTAATGCCGTAACTGCCCGTGCTTCTAATAACATGTCTCCATCAAAAATCGCAAGCAAAGATGTACAAAGAATCAAACACGGCATCAAAATTGTTTAAGCACAATCATATTAAGCCAAAAAAGAAAAGTTTTTGATTTATCATCGACCACAACACAAACATCTTCACTTCCTCATCCTTTATAACTTAAAAAAACACAAAGGAAAAAGGTTTGCAAAGAGAGGAGGATTGAGATTCACAGCCTCTTACATTACCATTACATATACTGATATACATACACTACTACGCACTAAACTTTATTTATCACTCACTCTCTCTCGCATATGCATACTTTTTTTACAGTCTCACATTCTCCACAGAGATTTACACAAAACCCAAAAAGGGGGGAAAAGACTCTCTCTCTACCCCTCTCTGTATTTCTCTCTTTAACTATGCCCGGAACAACCTTGGGCTTCTTGGACCCACACCAACGATGGCTGGTGGGTGTATCTACAGCAAAGTCTCAAGGTAGTTTTTGGTTATTTTTCAGCTCAGATCCGTCATCGATCGAGTCTCTCCTCCATTGATTATCCATGGATGTCCTGCATTAAGTGAACAAACCAAAATCAGAACCACTCTGTTTGGTAGGTGAGAAAATGGAGGAAAACAAAGACACAGTTCACAAACGCCTAAATCTCCAACCAACCTTAACCCATATAAATTTGGATTACTACAAGTCAAAGTAACAAAAGCCAAAAAAGTAAGGTGTGGCTGGAAATTTGGATTCTTCCCGTTTCCTTCATCACTTTCTCAGCAACCAAACAAAGAGGGGAGGAACTTAAATGAAAAAAGAAACTCAGATGAACCAAAAACAAATTTGGACCACTTCTTTTGAAAACCAAACATAAAAAAAGCAAATAAAACTGTAAACTTTGACATCTGCCCTTTTCTCGGTAACCAAACACCACGAAATTTTTGGGGGAAAACTGGAGTTGAATGTGAAAAAAGAATCACTTACTCAGAACCTGCTCAGCTGAAAATCTCCTGGAAACATCCTTGCACAACATCTTTCTCAACAGATCTTTGGCTTCCGGCGAAACCGACCTGAAAGCCTTCGTCGGAAACCGGAGATTGGCGCGCAACACCGCCTGGAACGTCTCCGCAGGAGAATCACCGTAAAACGGCGGGAATCCAGCCAGCATTATATACAAAATCACACCTGCACTCCACACATCAACCTTCTCATTGTAGTCCCTCCCGGACAACACCTCCGGCGCAACATAGTACGGCGTCCCGACGATTCCGCTCATCGTCCGATCCTCGCCGACTCCGAACCACTCCGCGGATCCGAAATCGGCGAGCTTCAACCGGTTCCGAGAATCGAACAACACGTTGTCCGGCTTGATATCGCGGTGAGCGATCCCCAACCGGTGACAGTACGCGATCGCACCGATCAAGGACTTCACAATCGAAGCTGCCTCCGGCTCGGAAAATGTGTGCTTCGAGATACGATCGTAGAGATCGGAGGAATCGCAGAGATCAGTGATGATGTGGAGGTAGTTCTCGTCCTCGAAGACCTTGTAGATTTGGAGAATGTTATGGTTTGCGCTCAGGAGCTGCAAAATCTTAGGCTCCTTTTCGAGGCAATCGCGATCAGTCTGATCGGAAAGTTCACGTTTATCGATGGATTTGCAGGCGAAGGAGTCGCCGGAGACCGGAGAGAAGCAGCGGTAGACGACGCCGAATCGTCCGCGGCCGATCTCTTCGCACAACTGGTATTCGCTCTTCAGACTCTCACACATTCTCCTTCTTTCTCTCTCTATACGTATATGTTTATGAAAATATTTCGACGGTTTCCTGGGTTTTATAGAGGGAGAGAGTAGGGTTTGGAGAGTAAAAAAAGGAATATTCGGTTTTTGAAACGGAATGTATAGTTTGGATGTGAAATTACGAGATTATCCCTATTGTATGTGAGAGAAGTTTTGAGCTCTCTCTCCCTCTATACTGTTTCTATCTCTATACGTATCTGTGTGAATGTGTGATGAGTGATAAGTGCAGTTAAATTACAAGATTGTCCCTGTTGTGTGTTCGGGCCTGGAAATGGGATGTATGGTTGAGAACATGGGATGTGAGATTACAACGTTTTGCAACGGTATTATAGTTTGGATGTGAAAGTACGAGATTGTCCCTGTTGTGTGTGAGAGAAGTTTTGGGCTTTCTCTCTCTATACGTATATGTGTGAATATGCGATGGGTGATAAGTGCAGTTAAATTACAAGATTGTCCCTGTTGTGTGTTGGGGCCTGCGGTCTGGAAAGATCACTAGTTTTTCCGTGTTGTGCGCGTGCGAGGAGTTTGGTTTTTCTTCTCTCTCTAGCTGTTTCTCTCTCTATACGTATATGCGTGGATATTCGAATCTGGGAACAGGAGGTACAGTTGGAGTGTTGAATGAGTGGATGGTGATACGTCCGGTTAAATTACAAGATTGTCCCTGTTTTGCGTTGATGAAGTATTGGGTTTCTTTTCTTATTGTGAAAGAAAAAAGAAGTCTATTTGTGTTACTAATTATTGGTTTTCTGCCTATGTCAGTCAATAGGTCATCAATCATATGTATATTTGTATATTAATTTGTGTAGACAAGTCAATTTAAAATTCTGTTAGTAAAAAATACATAAAATAAAATTTAAAACACTTAAACATCAATTGAAATTTCATTATACATAAACACTTATATAAATATATGTGTATAGATATTAAGTAGTAAATTTCACGTTTATGCACGTTTTAAGAATTGTATGTATAAAGAGAGAGAAAAAAAATAAAAATAAATTTATAGATAAGAAAAAATATCTAAAATAAGATAAACTTATAAAAATGGAAAAAAATAAAAGATATTTAATTAGTAAGAAAGAGTAATTATACAGTGTCTGAATATGGGATACATGAGTAGGGGTGTGACCCCATCTGGTGGCATCTTCAAAATTAGAAGGATGTATATTTTTTCTATTTAATAAAGGATTTTGGAAATTATTAACACTGTTTTTAATACTTAAATAAACTAATTGCAAATAGAGAAATAATGGGACTTTTAGAAAGTTAATGAAGTGTATCTTTTTGTCAATTTAGTGCATAGACATTTTTAGTTGTTAGTGGAATTTGTAAGCAGTGAAAGACTTTTGCAATAAGTGCCAAATATATTTTGTTTTTGTAAACATGTCTTTTGAAAAAAAAAAAAAAAACATGACTTTTGGAATAAATGGTGTCTCTAGAATGTGAAGACTTAATTGTTAGTCAACTATTATGTACTAAGAGAGAAAATATTATTAACATGTTCTACTTAAAAATTATACTAATAATAGTCCAAATATAGACATATTTTGTGTGAATTACGTAATTTAATTCGCACATAATTTTTTGTACACTAGTGTTCTATATATATATATATATATATATATATATATATAAACGCTCACCATATTTTGTGTGAATTAATTTTTTTACTTATTGTGAGCAAGATATTATTTCTGTATATGTGTGTGTATATATATATATATAATTACATAATGCCCATTAAAATTGTAACACAATTTAGGGCCCCAAGGTTGGTATGAAGATGATATCAAATCATTGAATATGAATTGCAGAAATTGTTGGAGGTGGTTTGTGGAGAGATATGGGCTTGTTGACGGTGAAGTTGTCTCCTGTGAAGGTCGCATCTTCTGTTATAGTAGATATATGGTTATTATATGGTTTTTGCTTTAATTTTAGCTTGCAATTTTATATTTATTTTTTTATTATTATTTATTATTATTATTATTATTATTATTATTATTATTTTGTTCTTAAAGGCATTTTTATGTTAAGTAGAATTTAAAAGGCCCCATTCATTTTACATTGAATGGAAAAAAAAAAAAAATGGCTATGTTTGAAAAATGGCAGTCATCTCAAAGTGATATTAATTTAAAATCTAAATTATCTGACATGAGATTACAAAATTATTTTATTTCAACAATGGGTGGAAGATAAATGTAATCCCAAAGATTAATATTTAAAAAATAAAAAAAAAACCATTGGGACATTTTTTTATGTTTTGCTTTTAATTTTTCTTTCATTTCAAAACAATAAAAAAAATAATAATAAAAAAAATAAAAAAAAGAAGAAGTAAACAAATTTGAAAAAAAACATTCAAAAAATTCTAGATTCTCCTAAATTTGTGGATAATAATACAATGATATAACCTAATTAATTGTACTTAGGGGAAGAATAATGTTGAAAGAAAGCATGAGTAGTGACATTGGCCTACCTTTCAAATCAAAGGTCACTTTCCTCAATTCAGTGAATGCCACCTCACCATATGCCATGTCATTGTCGAGGTGGAGGGCTTAGGTGGTCCATTCATGTTCCCTTGGCATCATTTTAAAGATAACATGATTGTCATTTCATATTCCCTTTTATAATTCTTAAAATAACCAAACCATGATGCTTCATTCATAAAGTGACAAGATCTGAATAGTGTTCGAATGAGCTGAATCATATGTGTGTTTTTAATATAAAATTTTCCACTCAACACAGTAATTTTAATAGGGGTAGGCGTGATGCAACTGATAGGTTGCTCTATTATAATTTGAAAATTAGGGGTTTAAAATTAATAATAATTTTTTCAGGCAAATGTATGGCTGTATATTTCTTTCATTTTAAAATAAGTGTATCATTTAAAAAGTCAATGTATTTTTTTTTTTTTTGCATAATATGAGTGCTTAATATAATCCATTTGCTAATGTCATTCAAATGGAAGAGCTGAAATTAGCAAATTCTTCCTAAATAATGCTGTGTTCGGTAAAGATGTATATTCCTTCCGTCTCAAAATAAGTCTCATTTAAAAAATCAATGCACTATTATTATAAATATTATCAATTTAACCTTCTTAACTAATAAAAAGTGAGAAAATCATTCACTAGTCACTAATAACTAATGAGTAGTAATAAAAATTTTATAATAAATAAAGATCATTTTTTTAAAAGGTTAGATTTTAGAAAAACAAACACTTATTTTGGGATGAAGTACATTTTATCTTCCCATATTCTGAAATGGTAGGAGCATCATGCACGAACTAGTCCTTTAAATTTATTCTAATAAGAGTCCCTTTTAGATTAATTTCAATATTCGTGACATTACTATATCAAGTTTACGCATGGACAAATGAGTGCTCGAGTTTCTTTCAAAAAGTCATATTCACTTAAAAAATATATATGTTAAGGCAATAAGTAAAATAATCCTAACCCCCACAAGTGAATATATATTTTTTAGTTGATATTCTCACACTCGTACTTTCACTAAAACTTAAACCTTGACTTTCTTTTAAAAAAATAGGAGTTTGATATCGCTGGCTACTCCCCCATTGATACCCATAATTGTAATTCATTTTGTGTGAATCCAACTTTAAGATCTCCAAAAAAATAAAAATAAAAAGCCACTTTTATCTAAAGAGATTGGTTGCCAAGAAAGTTTTTATAGTATTTGAACAAAAAATATGAAGCCATGTTAGGTTACAGGAATTTTATTTTATTTTATTTTTTTTTAGGCATGGGAGTTTCTAAATTATATATATAATTGCATTTCTTTTGGATAAGTGGGGTTGAGGCCCATAGCCCATAATGTCTCTTGAGGAAGGTGAGTGTACAAGGTACAGAGGAAAGGACAATCACTAAAGATACATAAATAGGGTGCAGGTTAGGCTGTTGGGGGATAAAGTTTTGTATCCACTTATCACCACCTGTCCTCCCCTCTCTCTCTCTCTCTCTCTCTCTCTCTCTCATAGTCTCATGTGTGCTGTGTGTGGTGGACCAAAGCCTACTCGGGTAGCACAAAGGACATTAGTGGTGGCAAACCATAGATGATTCACTACACTATATTAATTAAGAATTACCAATGTGATTAATAAACAATCCAAGATTTAAAAAGGAACTATAGTTTGCAGACAACATGTTATTGGCCATTGTCATAAAAAACATACATAAACAATTGAATTTTCTACCAATTAGTTTGAAAGTTCAGATTGAGATCGTTTTGTTACCATTTGTCATTATAATTGGATTTAAAAGTTTAAATTATCAGACTGTATTAACACTCGTCCTTATATATTCAAAACCCTCCCAATTTAAATCTAAATTCAATGCGGAACAAAAACTTATGACATGAGACACATAAATGGAGAGAGTAAAAGAGAAATTTACCTATCTTTTAATTATTACTTATGAGAATCATTTGAGAACTCCGCACTTCACTAATTAGACTACTAGGTAATGCGCAAAACCCAATCGGTTGAAGATATTAGATTGTAACTAGGTTTATTATATATTAATAGAGCTGAAAAAGACAGTATTGGCATGGTAAAAGGCATCCTAGGGAATGAGAGAGACATTATTAGCATGGTATATGACAGTTTTTATATTTTAAGTTTGTCATTGGTCGTTAGAAAGATGCAAGATATAAAATGCCAGGTGGAGAGAGAGAGAGAGTGCCGAGTGCTTCTTACTGTGAGAATCCAATTTTTTAAGTATATAATAGGACTAATATATTAATAGGGTTGAGAAAGCCATTATAGGCATGACAAATGACAAATTGTGGAACAGAGTATCATGCACCATATGGCATATAATAGGTTAAAAGGCAAGCATATAAAATCTTCAAGATTTCAACAGAAGTCTCAATTATCTTCGAATTGGGGGAGGTTAAATCATATAAAATGGAGTTGATCTCAGGAATCTTGGATAATTTGATGATTCTCTCTAAGCCTCTACACCTCTTCCCTCTCCCATATCTTCTCTCTCTCTCTCTCTCTATACACACACACTCTTTCCAGCCATACCCAAGAACAGGAATATGCTTATATTACGATGGAATACTGAATCGGTGCCTTAAATTTGGACGAAATTTATTTTAAAATTTTCATTTTCAAACCACCGATCTTCTCAAACACATCATTAGTGCTTTCTCTAGTACATCATGATACTGCAAAGCTTGACGACTTTATAAAATGGGGTTTTAGCTATTGAGGTGCTATAAAAAAAAGGGGTCATCTCAATGCATGAGACTCTCGTCATACGAGAGATATGAAGCTCTCGTCATACGAAAGATGTGAGAAGTATTATATGTACACAATCTTACTTCTACATTGGAGAAATTGTTTTTGATTTTCAACTCTTGATAACAATGAAGAAGCCTTAAGCCACTCCCTGCTGAGGTACAATCTGGTTCCCAAAAGCAGTGTCTCAATCATAGACTAGGTCTTGTTCTCTGCGATAAAGTTTGATACTTGAGCCAAAGTTGTTGCTTGTTTGTAGGCCACTATATGAACCTTGTCTTCTCGTTCTGTATTTCAGACATGACAACTAAGATCATATTTTTGTTTAAGCAATACAAAGATGATTTGCAATGCTGTTATATATATATATATATATATATATATAGACAGATATATATCATTTCCTGACAAATAACTCACACATTGCTTTACCCCTACAAAAACTTAAACCCTCAACCTCTATTTTGAAAAGAAAATGCCATTAGATACATCAATTTCAAAGAAAATACCACTATATCAATATCAATTGCCTTGTTTGTTGCTTTAACCCTAGCAATACAGATAGCCATGAGGGAGATTTTCTCAGCTGTAAGATTTTCTCTTCATCGACACACACACACACACACACACACACACACACATCCAACAATATAAAGAAACTGTGGAGGGTGAATTTCTTGGTGGTGATAAAGACTCTCAATCTGTCAAGCATAAAAGCTAAGATTCAAATAACAAGCAGTTGCTTTATGCAAAATAATGTCAAAAACTTAGTCCATACCAGTCCACAGCTACCAACACCCTCAACTAAACTGAGACTCTTTATCAGCTTATACCGATAATATCATACAACAAAACCTCTTAAAAAATGGTATTTTAAATTGATAAAATGTTCAACAATATTTTACAAATCAATGGAAGGGAAACATGTGTTAAATTAGAACTGAAAAAAAAAAAAAACCATACAATTGCTCATAATCTACATAATCCCTTTTAAAACTCAATCAGCATAAGAAACATATGCTCCTGAAAACTGGCATTTTTAAATTGAGAAAATGTTCTACAATATTTTACAAATCAATTGAAAGAAAACATGTGTTAAATTAAACTAAAAAACACCATACAATTGCTCATAGTCTACATTATCCCATTTAAACTTCAATCAGCATAAGAAACATATGCTTCTCGTTCTCGGTGTGTCCCGGTCCTCAAGACCTCTCAAAAATGACGTAATTGCTAGGTGCTCTGAAGCATATGTCATGAAAGATGCCAAGATTAAGCCTCCCACGACCATCAAACCTAGCCTGTGAACAGTAAGTTGGAATGCCATTATTGACTTCAGTTACAAGCAAAAATAGTAGAAATGAAATTATCAAGCCCTTTCAAAGCATCAACAGAATATTGTACCTAACAATGGAAAACACCAAAACATGCCCAAACGAAATAATAATAATAAATTAACCAATAAGTAAAAATTAAAGATTTTTGCCCCAAAAAATGAAGACAAACACATTTAGGTCATTGAAGATTTCGCACTTTCAATAATGATGGTGCATACTGAAGTCAAATAAGACCAGTAAATGTGTTACACAGACGCCAGAATACAAAATCTCATAATGCAAATTACCTTGGAAACAAAGCAGTGATCCCAAAAACACAAGGTAGTGAAGGGGCAACAACAGCCAGAAAGGCCATCCCTAACCAATAATTCCATGTAGAAAAATCACAAGCCATTTGTCGCTGCTGACCTATAATAAAAAAGAGAACATTATAAAAAAGTGAAGCAATGGACCATATTCAGGAATGACCATCCAAACTAAACTAGTCAACAAGTTCCTGTCTAGTGCCTACAAACCTTCATGACGAGAAGAAAAGGATCCTGCTTGATTTGTACTCCTCTTTCCCCACTTATAAATCAAGTGCAGGTAACCTCCGAACAATAAGAAGAAGATTGTGAATGTCCACTCATACATCAGGAGTAAACCAGTCCATGGCATTACTTGATGAGGAACAACTGAAAGTGCAATTGCAAGGGACACTACAGTAGCCATAAAACAGACAAAAACAGATGTTCCAGGCAAAAAAGCAGGCACCTTGGACAAAGCACCATTCGAGAACTGTTCGCAATCACAACAAAGAGATTTAACAAACTTTAAATATAAGAAAGCATGAACATGTCTAACATATAGGAAGCATCGGCAGTAATTGGTATGCTGTGGGGTACTACAACTGTACAAGACAGACAGGAAAAGGCAATTGCTGAAAAATGTAGAATGTGAAAACAGAAAAACAGAAAGAGACACTGGCATAGACACAGACATATATATTAACATTTTTAATAGAAAGAAGAAACCTCGACACACTGTTTAAAAGAGGCAGAAGAGAAAAATGACCTGTTGATTGGAATTAACTGCTGATGAAATAGCAGAATAAGCAAGAGAACCCCGAGATCTGAAATTGTTGTATAGGTGTCTAGTATGATCAAGGAATGAACGTGACTGCACCAAAATCACAACGCTTTCAGTTTCAAACAACAAATATATATTGCTTAGTTTCCAGGAAATGAGATGATACTGAAACTACAAACCTGAAGGAAAGACCGATGATAACATAAAAGTAGAGCAAATAATGGGAAAAGAAAAAGGAATTTGACTAGAAGATTATCCTTGGGATTTCTGCCTTGTCCAGTTCCAGGGAGAGATTCCTGAAGCTGTTTCCTAACGTTCTGCAGCATCGGGAAACATTAGTGTTATCAAAATCACCGGTAGTTTGGATACTGGATTCTCTTCAACACAATAGTAAAGAGAGATAACTTGCTCATATGGAACAAACAATGCAAATGCACCACCCCTAGGGCAGGGAAAAACAAAGATAAAAATAAAAAATAAAAGAAAGAAAGAAAGGGTATTGTATGCACAGATAGAGAGAGCAGAAAACTGCAGAACGGTTATGGCGTTAAAAGCAAATACCTGCCAGACATCAACAGGTTTCAAAAGCCAAGATGTCCACCAATCCCACGGTTTAAGGGGGCCAAGTGTATAGTGAATAACACGCAGTTCTTTTTCATCTACCATCCACTGCATGTGTAACACATAAAAGATCAGAAAGTTCTGTTGAAAAATTAGATGCAAATAAAAACCTAGCTAGATTTCTTTTTTACAATGCTGCCATTTTTTTTTTTTTTTTTATAATTATTTCTAGGGGTTTTAATAACCGATTTAATAAATCTATACCAAAAGAAACTATATGGATCCATTAATCTATCACTTGACACCATTAATTAACATTACTGCACTCTCGGCAACGCTTTTCAAATAAAATTAGAGATAGAATAAAGTTGCATCTCCAACCAAAAATAGAGAGAAGGATTTAGCATAATCATTAAATCGGCATTAGGTTATCACAAGCACACGCACACATACACACACAGATAAAGAGAGAAAAGATCTTCTCTTGCAATAAAACAGGAATCAAAAGATATCATCAAGAATATCAAATGTCTCGGCCCCCTTCATCATTGTTGGACCAGAATAGAAGCACTAGATGGGTGGAAATAATATAGGTAGGACTGGAACAGTCCAACCTTTGTTCAATTCATGGTGAAGACAAGAAGCTAAACAGCACTCAAAGCAGTCTCCAATATTTTATTAAAATAAAAATGATTTAGTTCTTTGAGGCTTATTTAGACATTTCTCAGTAGCCTAACCCAAAAATATTTTTAACAAAGGTATTATTAAAGATCACATTATTATCATCATCGGGCCTTGGTGCAACAGTAAGGTTGCCCCATTGTAACCTGGCGGTCACATGTTAAAAACCAGAAACAGCCTCTCTGCATAAGCTTACACCAAAGGTCATCATGAAATTCATTTTTATTTATTTTTTTGCCTTTATTATGGATGAAATGACAAGACACATTCATGATAAGATTTCCATAGTTCATGTTATTTGTTGATAATATTGTTTTAATTGATGAAACTAGAGTAGGAGTAAGTGCTAATTAGAGGTTTGAAGGAAAATTCTAGAATTATAAAATAATATAAAAATAAATAATTAAGTATAATTAAGAAACTTAATTTATGGAGTGGTAAATCTAGAAATAAAAATAGGGAAGGACTGAAAATTGAGGATCAAGAGGTACAAAAAAGTTGAGTATTTCCATTAAGGATTAATTGTTCATAATGAAGGAGAAACTGGACATGATTCTATTCATAGAATTACAGTAGGATGAGTTAAATGGAAAAATGCGTTTAGTTTATTATGTGATCAACATATCCCGTTAGATTGAGTTGAAAGTTCTATAGAACTTATGTTAAAATTGAATAGAGAAACAAAATATGAAGAACACAAGGCAAGAATATACGTGGTTCAGCCACTAGGGCTTACATCCACGGCACACAAAGCCCAAAGGGCTACATATCTTTTATTATAATAATCTCTCTTTTCATATTCAATACAATGGTGAAGGCTCCTTTATATAGGAGAAGAAATAATGAGAATGGAAAGAGAGAGATATAGGAAACAACATCAATACTAAAAGTTTTTTCTCCACAAATTCCTCCAGTATCTTCAATAAAAGGAAACATCAATAATGGAGGATTTTCCTCCATTGAGTCCTTCAATAACAAATATAACAGTAAATCTTCAACAATTGGAAAGAGCATCAATACTGGAAGATTTTCCTCCATTGATTCCTCCAGTAAATCTTCAACAACATCTATTGGAGTAGTCGATCTTATGGACAGAATGTTGGACAGGTAAGAAAAATATATATATACATAAAGTAAGTGGCAAAAATGTGAATGTTGAGATGAATGTGCAATAAGACTATAAATGATAGAATTATAAATGAACACATATGCGAGATGATTGAAGTAGCACCAATTGTAGATAAAATGAGAGAAAATCAATTAAGATGGTTTAGACGTGTGCAAAGAATACCACTAAGTGCACCAATTAGGAAGAGTGAAATGAACCACATTGAGGGACTGAGGGTAATGCTAAGGAAAATGGAAGGCCAAAGTTAATGTAGGTAAATTTAGTAAAGAATGGTATGATAACATGTGGTTTAACTAAGGCTATGACCTTAGATCTTAATGGAAAAATAGGATTTATGTAGCTCATCCTAAGTAGTTGAAAAAAAGGCTTTGTTGAGTTGAGTTGAAATAATGATTAATACTATCAATAAAATAATATTATATTATTAATTATTAGAATGTACTTTTAGAAATATAAGGAAAAAAATTTAATGATACTTCTGCAAATTTAATGTTGTCCGTGAACGTTTGCAAAATTTGTTTAAAAGAATTACATTGTCCTTCTATATAAAAACTTAATAAAATTTTTGACCAATCAAAAGTGGATTCTTGTTTTCTAGAAGTCATTTATATACTCGATGATTCTATTAATATATTATTTTTAGTGAACTAAGACTGTGAGTACTTAATAATTCTTGTAATCAGTATCATACTGAAGGAGCAAAGTTGCCTGAAAATAGTAAGATTTTATAACAATACTTCTGTACCTCTTTCTTTTGGGGGGCAAGGTGATGATACTTCTATATTAGTAAAAATATATAAAACATGCACACCATAAAGTACACATCCTGCTCAAAACTCAGGAATTTGTACCTTGTTTGCAAGCATATAAAGGCCAACGTCGGCATTATAAAGGGTTGAGAGTCTCTCCATCTCAGGAGAGGGTCTAGAATGCAACACTTCCGGTGATAAGTTTGGATCAAAGACATGTGCACTGGCAAAACCAACGTAATAGGAGTTAAGAAACCCCTGATCTCCTGTACACAGGGAAAAGAAGCCACGGCTTATTCAAGACGAAATTTCATAGTGGAAAATTCCACTTGAATAAAAGTTCAAAAAAGAACATAATTGATTAATAGATAACATGTAATACCTAATCTACTAAACATTGAAAACACAAAGAACCAGGGGAAAAAGACCCCATTAAGTATAGAAAATAACATTTTGTAATACATAAAATAAATTTTTTTTTTCCCGGGTTAATAAAATAAAAAATTAAAAAATAATTAACACATGAATGAAATGCCATGCCTCCGGTATAAGAAGGCAGAGTGGTCACTTTGCTCATCATGTCATTGAAAATTGCTGCCGACGGTTCCACTACCATGACTCCAGAATTCAGCCTCTCTGAATGTTTTAAGTTAGCACAGAATTTCCCACATTTAAATAAATCTTCGACACTCTTAACAACAATCGTATCGGCATCAAGATACACCACTGCAAAAAGAGGAGGAAGAAAAAAGAAAAGAAAAGAAAGAGACTGGAGATTATGAAAATAATAATAATAGACCATATGCCAAAGTAATCAACTAATTTCCTTCAGTTGCTAAGGAACTTCAGGAGAGAAATAATGAATCTAGAAATTGAGCCTCAAATTTTTACCATTTTGGAAGCAAGAAAATGATTAAGAGTGCTCAACTCAGCATAATACAACTACTTTGCTTAGCTGAGTCAACTTATTCTTTTTCAATTTTTTGGGAGCTTGGGAGGGGAGAAAGGCAGCTGTGGTGATGATGGGGCACCCAAGCAACAGCCAACAGCAAACATGACAACCAAAAAATTATTCTCTCCCCTTTTCCTCAGCAACCAAACAAATGATGAGAAATGTCAATCACCTTTCTTGTAGTTAGTCATGTTAAATATTTTCAGCTTGGTGTAAACACCCCAAAATCTCTCTGGCCGGACTTGATTTGGGTTTGCCAACAAACTAATCAGCTCCACAATCCAACCATCAGCCTGTACAAATAATATCAATTGCCATACATTATTCATTAAGGAAAATTAAGTGAGCTAAATTCAAGTAAAATTAATAAGTACATAGAATTCTTGATGCACCAGTAGACAGAATTACAATCATAAATTCATGTTTTGATTTTTGCTCTCAAAAACAATACTAGTTACTAGCACTTCTTTTCGCCATTGAGAAACACATGAACATAACAATAACTAATATTTTGTATCTTATACTTCCCCCATAAAACCAAAGCCTCCACTAAACAGATAGAGTATACCATTCCATTTCTTTTCGAACAGACGATTCACTATACAACTTAGTTTCTAAGCAATTAAACAAAGGTTCAGTCAATAACTTGGTTGCTGAGATAGATTTTAAACAATCACCAATAAAAAATAGTACTCCTAAAAACTAAAATACTACCAGCACAGATTTTATATTTGTAACAACCCTTTTATTGGTTGGCAGGAGAAGAAGTAGAAGTCTACAGAAATTGGCAATTATGAAATCGAATGACTATTACTACGTTAGTTAATGAAATGGTATAATATTCAAAATTTGAATTTCTATTTTTATCCAAAAATCCTTTTATCGGCAACTAAACAAGCATGGTACAATAAATACCTTGAGGAGCTTCTTGGCATAGCCCGATACGCCATCAGAGACAAGCACGACCATGTCCTTGGTCGACCCAGTGTCCCGAATCGACTTTCCGAGAACACGAACACCAAGTAGGAACTCATCGCCGTAGAGGAGAGTCACGTAAGCTTCTTCAGAAGACTGGCTCCGAGATCCCAAAGCTCGGGCACCAATTGAGTATTGACACAAAGCGAACAGAATTAACACAAACCCATATCTACAAAGACTCAATTTCATCGTAATCTGAACAAATTCAGGAGATCGGACGGCCAAATTGCGAAATCTGGATAGAGAAAGTTGGGATTTTCTCGAGAAAAAATAGGATTTTTTTTTAACTTTTTTGCGGGTCGGTTTGTGGGTAAACAGGAATTTGGGGGTACGAATCGAGGGATTGGAACGAAGAATTGGAAGGTTACTGTGAAGACGGCTTTGAAATGAGTTCGAATCTTCTTCTTCAAATTGGTATTCGCTTTGGTCTTCGAAGTGTTGCCACCGTGTTGAAAAGAGACTTTTCAACTCGTTTTTGGTTTAAAATCCAGTGTGACTGACCTTAGGCGTCATGGGTCGGGTTCACGCCCAACTTTTGAAATGGCATTGAATTTGAGTTTGTAATTCAGACTAAAATTCCAGGTTAAAATATCGGATTAAATTCGGAATATTTATATGTCCAATCTCTATCCTGAAAAACTAAATTGTGAACCTATGCAAGCAACACAAATATTACAGACTAATTATTATTGATATGCAAAAATATACACATATATTACGTCAAGGTTCTGATGGGATCGGGTTGAAACACGTGAACCTAATATCAAACCAAATTAAATTTTTAGTTCATCTTTTTGTATTCCAGTAACCAAATTGAATTTTGAATTCCTCCTTTTAGATTAGTATGAACTGAATTTTAAATGAAACTATCTAAATTTAAAAAATTTCGAGTTAAGTTTGGGTTGGACTCATTTCAGCCCGACTAAATTGCAACCACATTTACGACTAAATTGAACTCATTTTAACCCGACCAAAACACATCAAATGTAAACTTAATACACACACATGAGTCTATGCTATCCAATCTAATCCAATCCATATGGAACACCATAAAGACTCATATGCTATGTTGTTTTTAGAAAAAAGGATTAATAGTTGAGAACACAGGTGAAGTTGCTAGTCACCAAGTCCAAACGTATGCAAGTAGAAAGAGATTGGATTTTCTGTAATATAACACGTTAGTCGACGATCACGATCATTCCCACGTATATTTACAACACGTATAGTAAAATATTCGAACTCAAACACAAGATAGTGAGTGGGAAAAGAGTTTGTGGAAATCATAATGAGTGTGAAAACTGAAAAGTGTTAGAGCTGGCTCCAAACGTGCGCAAAGGGAGTCCACTCCTCTTTAAATTTCTCAAGTGGCATTTTTGAGCGAACTCTAATAACGATGTCATGGGATCAAATCCACCACCAAAAAATATATATTAAAATTAGGCCTTGGGTTGCAACTCAAAAAACAGAAAATGTTTTTAGAGTGACAAAAACTGAAAAAATAATTTTTGTTTTGCTTGGAACTGTTTTATAAAAACTGTGTTTCCAAAACTGAGATATGTCTAATTAATTGTTCATCCAAGCCACATGGTTGTCAGCCCAACCTCGAATACTCTACTTTTGGGTTCTTTGGACTCACCCATGGAGTCATGGGCCTATGCAGAGTTCTTTCTCACTTTGTGGCTTTCTTTCATTTTAGGTCAAGGCCCACAAATATATTTTATTTTCCATTGGACTTGAACTTAGAGGTCATCCAGTCCGTGTATGGACTTGGGATGTATCTCCATAATTTTTGTAATGTCTTTTTAACTCTGTGTGAGACGGTATCATGGAATTAGTATGTCGTTTATTGAGTGATACATAGATTAATTTTTAAAATATATATTTTTATTTGTATATACAAAAATTGTTAGGACAAATTCATGTTGGATTCGCCCCAAGGGCATAGTGGGTGAGATAAGTCCTTGAATTCTCATTTTCAAACCGCACTTCTGACTTGAGTCGTGCGTGTATTATGGGACAGATACATGTGCTCCAAGAAAAGAAAAAAAAAAAATTCATGTTGGGTTCGAGTATTCCTTTCAACATTGCACCCTAATGTACTCCTGCATATATTGGAGTATGTGTTTTTATTAGGGCAATTTTTTTTGGTACAAAACCAACCTGCAAAAAAAATATAATAAATAAATAAATTGATACAAAACTCTCATTGAATTATCTAATTCTTGCAAAGTTAGGAAGCACGGATACGGATTAGGATATGGGTATGACACGACACAGACATGGCGATACAGCAAATCTCAAAAAATTAGGACACATACATCATTGATATGTCAAAAAATAATAATATAATTTTATTATTATAATATTATAATATTATATATCGAATAAAATATTATTTTTATTCATTTAATCCATATAATCATGAATGAAAGCATCAACATTCACATGTTCTCGGTGGACTCGAACCATCAAACTCTTTCTTTAGGGACTAGAGGTTATACCATTGGACAAGAACTGTGTGGTAAGTATAAGTTTCCATGAAAAAATTATGTCATGCATTCTTGTTGTACCTAGTGAAGATATGAAAGTTGCAAAAGAAACATTGTTTATGCATTGCATCAAGAAATTTACTCACATTTAGGTCGCTCTTAAGGAAATTTTAACTCTCAATCTTCTACTTGGAAAGACGAGGAAGTATCATTAAACTACAACACCTGTGATAAATAATTTAAATTGAATCAAAATTAAGCAAAAATAAATAAAAAATAAAAAAAAAAGGAAGAGAAAAAAAAAAATGATCAATTGAAATCTTCAATTAGCAGATGTCTTAACACTCCAGCGGGTTAGTACCTTCGATGAATTTTGGAGTGTCAGACTTCGATTCTCTGCATGTACTAATCTAACTTTTAACCCTTCTTGTCTTGTAAATAAAAATAAATAAAAAAAATTAAAATCTTCAATTTCGAAAACTTTTGACCATAACAATATTCTATTTCAATATATATATAATATGTGTGTGTGTGTGAAGAAAAATAAGAATTGAATTTGGCATTGTCAAAGAAATATGATCTCATAAGACACTAGTGATGTGCATGAAAAGGTAAGTGGTCCTCTTTCTTAATGTACATGCTTGATCCTACTTTTTTGTGGGCAGATCCAGGGTCGGTAAAAAGTCATGGATTTTCATTGAATTGGCCTCGATGTTTAAAGGTGCTTCACTACTGTTTTTTGATTTTTTTTGAAGGACTAACCTATTCAAAACCCTTTATCATCAAAGCAAACAAGAAGATCTTGCCTTAGACTTTTAGGTTAATGTAGTCAAGATTGTTTTCATCATGTTGGTTTGACCTTTTAGCTTTTAATAGATTACATGGTAAAAAAAGTTGAATTTCTAAGACTTTAGTTATGTAAAAAACCAAGACATGTAAAAATTAATGTTTGTACTTTGTTGGTCTGAAAGTTATATTAATATAAGTGAAAGTTAGATTGAGTTTGAATTTGGACTAGAGAGCAAAAAGAGAGATTGTTGTAGTCACTCGTAGAAAAAAAAAGGGTACCAAAAATAATTTTTAATCCAATATGTTGGGAAATTGGAGAAATACCAACCTCATCAAATGACTAAAGCAAATAATTTAACTGTTTTTAACTTGGCATATTTGAACAATTAAGGTAGAATAAATAAATCGATCTAAATACTTTTATATTTAATCAATATAAGAAAAAAAAAAAAAAAATTGTTAATCTTTTTGGTGGTATGATCAATAGAATCATATATTAACCTTTATATTAGGTGGATCTCACTATATATATATATATATATATATATATATATATATATATATATATATACACACACACACACACACACATATATATATATATATTTGGAATTCACAAGTGAAACAATTTCAACTAACATTATTATGTTATTAATATTCTTGATGTTGTGATATATCAACAATATTTTATATATATATATTTTTTCACATATGAGGTATCTCACACCTTATCGATAAAACTAATCCACTACAGAACACACACAGCATCGCTACAAATCACGTGCACCGAACAAGACCGAACAAATCCAAAGCTTTACCTGACTACAACTTAACTCATGTGGGACAAAAAAATAAGTTGAATTTGTAAGACCCACTCTCTATCATTAAAAAAAACTTAATTGTATCAGTTATAGTGATGACATAATATACCATTTTATTAAATATTAACACTTGATGATATGACAAATCCATTAAAACAAAACATTTTTACTCATATAATAAAATACAATTAATTAATAGCATAAATAATCAAATATTAAAGGTGCATAAAACTCTTTCTCCTATATATATATATATGTATGTATGTTTGCACGCATGTTGCTTAATCCATTATATATATATATATATATGTATGTATATATATATTTATGTATGTATGTATGTTTGCACGCATGTTGCTTAATCCATTTTTGTGTTTTGATTCCCAATACAATATTAATTAATGGGTAATGTTTTACTAATGGATGCTGTGTGTGATTAAGTCACGAGACTGTAAAAACAGACACCACAAATTGTCGGCAATTACCAAAAGGGTAATTGGATCATGTGGCTGGCTCTGTTCAACTTCTTTTGTCGACATACGGGCGCATGTTTTTTTTGACCATTAAATAGAAAAATAAAAAGGCCTTTTGGGGAGGGTGACTTTGCTACCCAAAGACGAAGCAACCAAGAAACTTATTAGTGGATGCTCAATTCTGCAGATATACCTATGTAATGTGACAACATCATACCATCACTTTGCTTTTTTGAAATTAAATAAATCACATCAATTGTATGACATTTTATTTGAAGAAATCTCCAATGGCCCATCTATAGGATTTAACGTTAGAGAGTTAGAGAGAGAAAGTGAGAGGAGAGGCCTTTTTAATTAATTCCCATGAAAAGTGTGCTTTAATTTGCTTGTGAAAATCATGGCTTTAGCACTTACATGGTTTTTTAAAGGCCAGTGAGCCTAGCTTGTCTTTGGTGAGACCTTTAAAGAGTTTGGAGGAAGCTAGTATAGGCTAGGCTCTCACATGTAGGAGAGAAATCTAGAGAGAGAAAGCTAGAGAGAGAGAGAGAGGCAAAGATGGTGAGGACTCCTTGTTGTGAGAAGATGGGACTGAAGAAAGGGCCATGGACTCCTGAAGAAGATCATATATTGGTTTCCTACGTTCAAAGATATGGTCATGAGAATTGGAGGGCTTTACCAAAACTAGCTGGTAAGTAACTATATATATGCTCATGTATTTCTCATCAACATATATATATCTATATATATTTATAATTTATATTCTATGTTCAATAATGTTATATATGAAGCAATTATTTGAAATGATTATATATGGTCGTGTATTTCTTATCAACATGTACAAGTTACAACTCTAGCTAGGACATGATTAATCTAGTCGTAACAGTATATATAAAATCTTTGAATATATATCAATCTGGTGGATCTCACAAGTATCATACCAAATCCCATCAATTCTTTGAAATATTCTCATGAAATATGATTTTGTATGTTTAATTGGAATAGGTCTATTAAGGTGTGGGAAGAGTTGCAGACTTAGGTGGACGAATTATCTGAGGCCAGATATTAAAAGAGGAAACTTCAGCAAGGAAGAAGAAGAAGCCATCATCAAGCTACATCAAGTTCTTGGAAACAGGTGTGTGTGTTTGTGTGTGTAATGATATATATAGCTTGATTCATTTACTGTTTCTTCTGATCAAATCATTTTAGTTCAAACATGAAATACTATCATAATCTAAACTCATTCGTTCTTTATACCGCGAAAATAAAAGGGTAGTTGGTTCATTTTTTCGAGAATAGTTTTTAAAGAATAACTTATAACTATTTCTGTTTCTAGAGAAGTTCTTGAAAACAAAAACTAGGCGAACTATTTCTCTTGCTCTATGCTGTTTGGTTTTATATATTAAGCATGGTATCTTAACTATTGCCCCTTTTTAACCTATCAAAAACACCACCATATTGATATGGACATGCATGAATATTTTGTAGGTGCTTCTTCAATTCGACATTTTGTTCGTTAGGGTTTGATAGTGTGATAGCTCTGTAATTCGAATTAGATTTATAGTTGAATGAACTGCATTGCTGATATTGATTCCAAAAAGGAAACAATAGAATAGTAGGTATAGGCTGTACTGCTAGTCCATGAACAACCAACTATATATCGCACTGTAAAAATTGGATAGGTTTGATCTATTGTCATTAGGGCCTCCTAAAAGGATTTACAAAATTCATCGAGTTGTTTCAAAGGATCAAAACGGTCAGTTATTAATGGAATTCCTTGTCAGCTCTTTGATTAGGTTGTTATAGTACTTCTACTTTAGTTTACATGCTTCACTGTCACAAATTATTAACACACTTATAGGAAAACGATAGAAATCTTGGCATCTGTTATTGATTGATGTGACAAACTACGGGTCTTTGACACTGTCGATTAGAGTTGCACAAAAAATAGATCATTTTTTGTAGTATTACTCATATACGTATTTCTTTTTTTTCCAGGTGGTCTACCATTGCAACAAGATTGCCTGGAAGAACTGACAACGAGATCAAAAATTTCTGGAACACTCACTTGAAGAAGAAGATTAATCAAAATGTGGCTCACCCAGAAACCACAGGACACTCCTCTGATGAACCACCAAAATGGGGCATAACTTACACCATGAATTCAAGACCTGTGAATTGTTCAAGCGAACAATATTTGAGAAGTATATCCCATATAATACCAAATTCTACTCAATCGGCGCAGCCACTCGAGCAAGAAACCGCCATGAATGCCTCATCCAAGTTTCTTGAAATGAAAGGGAAGCAGCTGTCAATAAGTTCTGCCATGACAAGCAACTTTCAAGGTCTGATTGATCCAAGAATTGGGTTTTCGTATCCTCAGCTAGGATCCAAAGTGGAGCACAGTGATGGTGGCAATTCTAATATCAGTGACGATCACATGAATTTTTGGTACAATGTCTTCATCAAAGCAGGAGAGTCACAGAACAGCTAGGAACGACTTTCAAGGTCTGATTGATTCAAGGATTGGGTTTTGTTATTTTCTTCCTCCTCCTTTTTACGGGAAAAGGACTTGGATTGTTGGGTAGTCCAATTTTGACTGTTAAAATTTGGTTGAAAAGTTGAAAATGTAAAAGAGTGGTGTTGATGTAGAGGGCGGTTGAAGAAGTGTATACAAAAGTTATACAAGATATACTCCACTTTCTAGTAAATTGACGTCGAATCCAGATTCTCTTTCGTGTCATTTGTGTGGGGTCCTATGTTATTATATCGCTCATGATATAACTCATATACTTTTTATGCGATTTTACATGGCTTATGAAATAGCTCACATATATCTTTTATGCCACAATTTTATATCGCTTATACAATAACTCACATCAGGGTCAACTTTGAGATTAAAAAATTCTTGAGAGACTCTAGGTTAACTTTAAATGTGAGACCCTAATAGTAAATGATGACCCATCATTCTTGTTGCATTTGGAGGCTAGCCCATTATTCTTGCTCCATTTTGATGGCCCTAAATTTGGAGGCGAGTTACAATTGCTACGGTTTGGTTATAAATTTTTTTTTTGTGGCCCATCATTCTTGAGGTCCTTTATTTGTTGCATTTTGGTTATAATTTTTTGGGTTAAGTGCATTAAACCCCCCTCAACTTTCTTCTCTTTCTTAATAAACCCCCCTGAACTAAGTGAAGTACACTTAACTCCCTAAACTATTTCAATTGTTGCAAAGCGTTAGTGGGCCGTTTAAAACTAATGTCCAAAGAAGACACATGACTCACGTGACTAGGTTAAAATCAATAAAGACAAAAATAACCTTGAATGTGTAAAGTTGCTTATACACCAATGTATCGTCAACGAAGACAGAGAGGAATAACATATACAGATACACAAATATATATATATATATATATATATATATATATATATATATATATATATATATATATATATATCCCTCCTTTCTCTTCAAACAACCTACAGCATCTGTGCATGGCCATCACCTCCACCGTCCGCCCATGGCCACCACCAACACCGTCACGGTTCTCTCCCCCACTGAATATTTTTCCCTCACAACCACCTCACCGTCCACGGCTGCCACCACAACCGCTCTCTTCCCAATCCACCCCCCTCTCTTTGGCCTCCAACTCCGGCAACAACAAGAACTTCAATACCGGTGAGAAGTGGGTTTGTTCTGCAGCGGTAGTGACAGAGGTGCTCGGCGACGGCGAGCTTACCGGAGAACACAATGACTATTCGCGATGGTGGCGTTGAACCACATGGGCAGACGGTAATGAGTTGAACTGAAATGGCGGTGGCGAGCGAGGATGAACCCACGGGACGACGACGATTGTTCTTAACGATGGTCGCGGATCAGAACGGTGGCGGTAACGACTGTAAGAGTCGCGAAGCTTCAATGAATTACAGCAATGGTGGCGATGAATTTGTAAGATACCGGCGAGCTTACCGATGAGCAATGGAACTGAACTGGATATGGAGATTTGAGATCGAGTCACCTGAATATGGAGATTTGAGAGCAAATGAGAAGGATTTGCTGAAAATCAATGGCGAACGAGAGAGGATTTGCTGAGACTGAAAGTTAAGACTTCAAATTTGGGGGTTCTTGGGATATATATATATATATATATATATATATATATATATATATATATCCAAACTCAAGACCAAGTTCTCGTTTGCAATTTCTTGGGTTCGTTCTCAGCATATGATGCTCTCAATGGTGAAAATGATTTCTTTCTTCAGGCCAATTATGGATGTATGAGATTTTGATAGCAAAGACTACGAGAATGGTCTGGTTTAAAATGGTGCTTGGACTATAAATAATAATTTATCTTCCCTGCTTTAAGAGTTTTATATCTGGGAAATGATTGTTCTTAGCATATTTCCAAGGTGCTATATAATAAACAATTTGCAGTGATTACTAATGCTCTTTGAACCGTGAATTTAGATTAATTCCGTCGGAAAAAGGTCAACCGTCTATGTTTGCCGATCTCCGACCATAACAAATAACATATTTAAATGGAGAGAGACATGCATCAAATCCGATCAATCCCAATATACAACCTATTTAAATTGGAACCCATTTTGATATTTTGATGTTATTACTTCACAATTTCCCCTCATCTCCTTCAATTTCTTGTTGGCCCCAAGAAATATTATTGACGAGATGGACACAGAGAGGAGGGTGGTGGTGGCTGCCGATAGAGAAGAATTACAATTTTTATATATATATAATTCTCCACTAATTGAGTTGTCATTCTCTTATTGGTGGAGAATTATTTTTGTCCACTTCAATAAAATAATTCTGAGTTGGCCAATTTTCATTGGACATAGAGATTATAATTGTTACATCAGCCTACCCAAAAATAATAATAATAATAATTTTTTTAAAAAAAAATAATTCAACACGAAGGGCTAAATGGTAATTTTCATTTTCTATTAACGGCTCCTTGACGGCTCTTGACGGAGTGCAACAAAATGATAATTTAGGGGGATTTTACTTACTTCAGGGGGATTTCTTGCAATTAGGTTATAGTTGAGGGGGGTTTAATGCACTTAACCCTAATTTTTTTTTTTTTTTGGTGGCCCAACATTAATGGGCCTATAAAATTTGAGGCCCCTTAAATGATTTGATACATTTAGTTACACTTTTTTTTTTTTCTTTTTCTTTTGTAGCCCATCATACATGGGCCCGCAAATTTTGAGGCCCCCAAAATTCTGAGGCCCTAGGCGACGACCTTAGTCGCCTTGGGGCAGGGCCGGCCCTGACTCACATATATCTTTTATGCGACAACTTTACAAAATTTACGTCGCTTATGCAACATATATTTTTTATGGATCAATTTTACATCGCTTATACAACAATTCACGTATATCTTTTATGCGACAACTTTACAGATTTTACATCGCTTATGCAACATTTATCTTTTATGGGACAATTTTACGTCGCTTATGCAACATATATCTTTTATGGGACAACTTTACATCGATTATGCAACAATTATGTTTTGCACTGCAATGTATTGTGTTGCACTTAAGGATGGCAAAACACCCGTGCCACCATGTTTAATGCAGTTATGGGTGTGATTAAATAGTTTTAGGGTGGGGATAAAGGTTTTGATTGAAATCCTTGCAATTGCGGGGTAGGGATAGAAAAAGGTCACCCTGCCTGCTCCACCACCTTTATAGTGATAAATTAATTATAATTTTCACTTTATAATTTATTTTTATATTAAAAGTTATGGTACATATTAAGTAAACCTTAGGAAATCATATTCCAATCACTCAATATCACTGTATATTATTCTTACTTAACAACCTTTATACATTACTTTGATGCTTTTACAATAATATTAAATCTCAAGTTGCAGTTGAAAATGTGAATACTCATCTATCAAACATAAGAGAGGTGGAATTATTACTCTGGTTAAATTCGTAATATAGTCACAAAACTCTCTTAAATTCATCCACGTCATGCCTTGTTTCATAATTGATTTTGGACAAATATGAGAGAGACGAGCAATGTTAAATGAGGACGGAAATGAGGTAGGCATTCTCAGTCCCAAATCGCTTCATTACCATCCCTTGCACTAGCCACATAGGACCTGGTGTATTCATTTCCGCTGTATGAATTTAGGTTGAATAGGTATAGGAAAAGAAAAATGAAAAAAGTTTTCTTAATACACATCAAATTCTTTTACATAATTTTAGTTTATTAGACCATATGATTTATGCACTTCATATTCAAGTTCAGTAAATTAAGGAGCTTCACTTTGAGAAAAAAAAAAAATATATATCAAAATACTAAATAACATGTAATACTAAATAACATGTAATATGCCGTGGTATAACCTCCTTATAGTCAAAGAGGAAGAGAGAGGCTGATGTGTATAAAAAGTGTACCTATATTTTCTCAATGCTTAAAATTTAAAAAAAAAAAAAAAAAAACCAAAATTCCAATATTTGAAGTGTATGTGAGTGAGCTTATTTCTTGCAAATATTTTAAAAATAATAATAAAAAAAAAAAAACCAAAATTTGAAGTACTTTGTCCAATATGAAAAAACAAATTAATGAAAGAGTACCGTTCGTTCACGGTGGGACTCGAACCCACAATCTCCCGCTCCGGAGGCGAGCGCCTTATCCATTAGGCCACGCGAACACCCACGCTGGGTTTTGAGAATAAAAGCAATATTACTTATTTTTCACAATCGGTTTTGAGGATTAAAAATGGACAGAGTGAGAGAGTAGAGAGAGCTTAACGGCTATTGCAAATATTTTCTTAATCCTCCAAAGCCCTAACACATAGTAACAATGGCTCATCAGACGATATCGATCTCTCTTCAGTGCCCTAACGCACAATTTTCTCCGAAGATCTGCATTTTTAAACGGCCTGTTACAACCTTTCCCTCTTCTATCGTCAGGTAATTTATCCTCAAAACAATTTTCTTTTCATTCTCTGTTTGGTTGTTCAGAAAATTAATAATAAGAAAAAGAACAGATACAGTCTCAAATATTATATTTCTCACTTTTTTGAGAACCCAAAAATTTGAATTAGGTTTCTGTTCTACTTTCTGTATTGTGTGTTTCATTTCGTATGTTTGCTGAAAGGACCGAGGAATATATGAGAAATAAGAATTTAATTATATATTAAATCAACTCAGGCAAGCAATTTATTTGGCCAAGTTTGGTGCAGTGTTTTGTTATCTTTTGTCTCAAATAATTGAAAATCTATAATATATAATTAATTACCTTGCTCGTCTGACATTTTTCCTTCTTCAGCCACATATAATTTTAGTGTATTCAGAATTCAAATTGTTTGTCATGTATATTTTGTTATTTAAGTTCTTAATAGATATGCAAAAATAATGAATTCAACATCGTATACATATAAATATACATATATTTAGATATTTATGTATTATATCTCCTAATGTACATAAGTAGGAAGGTAGATGCATACAGAAGCATGTACCTGTGTGTTTGTTTTACGGATGCAGATTGGTTGTATGAAATTGAACATCTGCGACGGGCTTAATCCAATTAAGTCCGTAGCACGACCACCTGCTTTAAATCCAAGCATATGTATTTGTTTATTTGTATAATTTGTGATGAATATATATAAATATATATATTTTTATTTTTTAATTATTTGGCAAATTTGTTCTGTTAGGTTTTAGTTGATTTGACAAGAAATTTCTTAAAGATAGTTGAGAAAACAAAAGAATTGTCTTTATGTCTTGTGATTAAAGTTTAATTTGAAATGAAAAGGGACTTTGGCAATGTTTGGTTCTCAGAATGAATGAGGGAAGAGGAAAGAAGATGCTGGAAAATGGCTTCTTTGAGCTTGTTCCAATGGATTCCCTTTTCTTTTATTTATTTTTTCTGGCAGTCAAGTTAGGGGTTAAATCAGTTTCCTTTACTGGGGAACTTTTCTAGAAATATTTTCAGTTTTACTTAATCGATCCTTGCAAACTTTATACTAACACATTGTTTTCCTACATATTTTAGGAGTTCTTTTTTAACTATAAACACATAAATCATATTATTAGAAGTCCCACTGTATGAATATTATATATATATATAATTTTTGATAAGTACAATAAACACACCTATGTTCCATTGGATTTGAATAAGCATCCCTTCTTATTGGTTGGCATGAAGTATCACTCAAGCTAGAAACTAGAAACATGATACTAAGGTGCTGATTGATTACTCAATTCAGCACTTAAAATTCATCAAAATAAGTGATTTTCTAATTGTGTGTTTGATAGAACAATTAGAATCACTTAAAAAAAAAAAATTAAGTATTACTTAAAAGCAGTCAAAATTTAATGTGATAAGGACTTCATTTATCTTTTAAGACAGAATAAGCCGAGTGGTAGGGGTTTTAAAATATTATTCATTGGGCAAATGTACCCTGAAATAAATATTTCTGTCCCTCTCCATTATACCCCCTATGCGTCATTCCCCCGAATTTCCAGCGAGAAGGCTGCCCGGGGTCACCTTCCATGGAAATCCTATGCAAAGACTGAACCACATTCATCAGTTACATCCATCAACGCCATTACCTGCCAATCTTTTCATTGTAAAATTGAGAAGACAAACAAATGAACAATAACAGACCCTATCAGATCTAGTAAAAGCACTCTCTCTCTCACTCTATACACACACACACACACATGTTTATACAACTTCATCTCTTGTCGATTATTATCACAGTGAACAGATAAAAGAGCCAATCTATTTATTTCTATGCGTGATATAAAATGATTTTGTCTGTAATTCAATTCAATATGCATATTCTATGGTTTCTTTCCTCTTGTAGTAGTTCTTTGTGAATATAGGATTTTATTTCAGGAAGAGTGAGATATGTGTGAGATCTTGATTTAGGGTTTGCAAAGGCCTTACCTTTGGACCTTTAAAAAGGAAAAGAAAAACATGGAAATATAACGACTTTGCGTTCAACAATATATTATATAAAAATAATATGAGACAGTACCAAACATGACCTTACATGGGTTTGAGGTAAAATTTGTAAATTAAATAGTTTTTAGATATGAGCTATTTGTATTCATCAAACAATCTTAATAAATTTAATACTCAAATATTCAGATAATAGCAAACAAGTTTCACATTTGTAGATTTAACACTAAGAAATTTCAGAACCTAATTTTCAGTTTTATTAAACAGCACCTAAGACTTCTTTTATGTCATTAATATAGTGATTAACTAAATAATGAGAGGCTGTTACTTTAGTTTGTTAGTTTTGTTTCCTCCATCTATTGTTAACTATGGTATCAGGATATTGAATTAATCAGGTTTCCTAGAACATCTTCACTGAGTAGAAGGGTGGTTTGTGCCGCTTCCTCAGCTGCTGGAAGTTCTAGTTCAGACAGTAATTTCAATCCGTATGAGGTATTCAACTAATATCCTGTTTGTGCCCTAGAAATTGAAGTTACAATCAACTGAACCCTTAGCTGTTCTTATTGTCAATTGATTAATTGGTGCTTCACACTATTCCCCTGTTTCTAGGTTCTTGGTGTGAGTCCCATTGAGGGATTTGACATGGTCAAGGCAGCTTATGCAAGAAAACGCAAGGATGCTGAGAGGAGAGGCGATGAAGTGACTGCTGCAGAAGTAGGCTATTGTTTTTTTTTCTTTTTCCTTTTTCTCTTTTCTGAAACTGATGATTTTGTTTGTGACCCATATTGTTGAAAATGAATAAACATTTACACTTTGGGAACCTGTGGTTTGTAAATGTATTATTTTCAGTTGGAGAAGGCATATGACAAAGTCATGATGGCACAATTAACGAATCGGAAGAAGGGTGTGACATTTGGTTCATTTAAGGTATAGTCAATGTATCTGTTTTTTTTTTTGTTTGCTTCATGTTCCTTGCATTTGAGGGATTAGATAACATGATGTACATGGTTGTAAGGCTACTGCAAGGGTTAGGTCTGTGTCCAATCTACCCCTCCCAGCACCCTCGATTGGGACCACACTGGATAATGACCATTCTGATAATTTGATAGTGTTAATGTATCACAATATTAGCAAGATTAGTTTTATGCACAGAAATTTTACTGGAACTAACAAAAGCTTTAAAAAAAGAAAATAGGTATATCGTCATCTACATTTTAGTCGCTCTATTATGTCTTCTTAGTGGGTTTTGCTTGCAGTGAACTTATATTTTGTCAATGTTGTTAACTACCAGCTACTCCAAAAGCTTAAGCTGTTAGAGAGGGTGTAACTTAAATATATAAATCCTTCAGCATCCCCTCATGTGTGGCTTTCTTTTGGTCCAGCACGTGTTTTTCAATTTTTAATTTAGGGTGACGGTGGGGTTTGAACTCAAGACCTTTGGCTTTGATACCATGTTAACTACTATCTACTCTAAAAGTTTAAGCTGTTAGAGAGGGTGTAACTTTAGTTTTAAATCCTTCAACACTTCCCCTCACGTGTAGCCTATTTTTTTGGTCGAACACATGTTTCAATTTTTATTATCAGGGTGACAGTGAGATTTGAACTCGAGACCTTTGGCTCTGATACCATGTTAACTACCATCTACTCCAAAAGTTTAAGTTGTTAGAGAGGGTGTAACTTAAATATATAAATACTTTAACAAAATACATGCACGCTTTTTGAACATGCACCTCTTCTTTTGAGGATATCAGGAGATATCACTCAACTAAAAGTTGGTGGTCTTGGCTTACACTTAATGTGGAGCTTCCTGTATAATTATTAGGTTTAAAAACACAATACTACAGCCTAAAGAGATATTTTTGGAAAATTATTCAAATATCACTTCTTTGTCTATGAAACAAGTTCTCAAATCAATTTATACTTTTTTTTGTATGTAAATTGTTTTTTATCATAATGTTTGATGTCTTTAATATGGTCTTAATTCTTTATCTGTTTTATCATCTACATATTTTTCTTATGTTCTGTTGAATCTTTAAGCTTTTTGATTTCTCCGTTTTAGCATCTTCCTAATATTGATTATTGTTCTTCTATGCTTAACATACAGGTTTCAAAGGATATCAAATATGCTGATAAGCAGCCAATTGTACCATGGGGCCCAAGGTCTGACCTTGCATTTTTAAATTGCTTATGAGTATCATTAGAAAATATTGTGACTGAATTCATCTTGCTTAGCTTAGATTTATTCAATTCTTTCAATTTTTTGTTTTCTTTCCCCAGTGTGTGGTCAGCTACTACACTAGAGCCCCACATAGCACACATACTTAAAAGGATTTATATAAAAAAACATGTTTGATACCAACCTTTATTGATCGTTCTAGATATGCATTTGATACTTAAAGAAGAAACCATGATTAAAAAATAAATATTCAAAATTTTTAGATGTGTTTAATATTCTTGAATACTTGTGGACATGAGTCTAGCATATTCAAACATCAAGAGCATGCCTCTCTAGCATGAGATGTCAAGAAAAAAATGATAATGAGGGTAAATCATTTCCAATTTCGTCTTAAGACTGTCCAAGCAACAAAAGCGTCAATTTTCTTTGGTGAATTTCAACTTTATAGATACACAAGCAGATTGTCTTTTGAATTGATTTTTTTACAGCCATATATTTTGCCGTGACCGCTATGTACTCGCATCTTATTTCTGTTAGTTTATTGTTTTATTATGTTCCCGATGTTTCATATTCATAATCTTTATCAAGTGTGATGACGCAAATTTATGTTTAAAGCTGTCACATTTTATGCAAAATAACGTCAAAACAAAAAAATTACGTGTCCAGTGTACCCCTTCTAGCACCCTCACAAGAGGGACCAGATTTGGATAATGTTCTTTTATTTTTAATTTGTATCAATATTGATGCTTTATGGGCGGAGCCATGTGTATGATAGACAATTGTCAAACTGTGACACTTTTTGCACACTCTTGGAAATGTCCACACATGTTCATACACATGTCTATAATGTGTCCATAAGTGAATATTAATTTTAAGCATGTGCCACATTTTCGGGTGTTCGTTGATGCATTTCAAACATGCCTTGATTGTTGGGTAGAACTTAAAAAGCTAATAATCTGTATCTAAATAATTTGAAAAACTTCACCTGCTTTTTTATTTTTTTGCATAAAAGAAATATAATCATATGTGGTGATGATTTCAATTGAATAGGGAGCAGAGTAGGAAGAGAAATGAGTAGTCAGAACTGTGTGCTTATGTGTATTTCCATGTTTTATTCTTGAAAACTTTTTGGTTGATGGTTGCACTTTTGGGGCTTTGGGTGGTCCCCTTGGAGGCTTGGACCCCTTCGCATGTGTGGCATATTAAGCAATCATTGTGCTCTGTGTGTGTGTGTGTGTGTGTGTGGACCAGTTGGTAAATGCTTTTACTTGTAAAACCGGAGATTCCAGCTCTTTGGAGACCTTTAAGAAGATTCTTCATGGGGTATTCATAATCTTTTAATTGACGGGAATTCTGAGGTTGTGTTGCACTTTTTGAGATTGCAGTTTTCTATATCTTGTTGTCATGCATGCTTGATGGAAGAAATATTATAATTATTTTGCTCATTAGAGAGATTTCTTGGATACCAAGATTCGCCAATTAGAAGGTAAATTTCTTGGCAGAACGCGGTGCTCCAAAGTCGGGGGATTATGGGGCCTGTTTTTTTAGGTGTTTTTAGACAAGTTTATACATTTTCTCACAAAATTTTTTATTCTTCCTCATTCTACATTTATGTTTAGGAGTATTTTTCATCCTCTCCCTCCTGTTTCGTCATTTATCCATGTTTTGTATCTACATCTATGAAATCCATTGTGGCACTATTTATAAATAAAACAATCTTATAAGCACATGTCATTAATTACTGATACATGCTTAAATATAAGAGATTAAAGTGACATTTCAAGGCATTTAGAGTTAAATGATGAAAGGAGTTAAATATGCTCATAAGACTTGGTAATCAAAGGAGTTAACTATCAAAAACCAAGGAAATGTCACCAAAGTATAAAGTGGAAAGAGTTGAAAGGTAACAAAGAGAGAAACTTTTTTTTAAAAATGCTACAAGGAACACAATGCAATTGGAATGAAAATGTAAATAATCTCTGGACAAACATAGCGGATTCTATTAGGAGTGTGGTGAAAGAGACTTTTGGGAGAGACGAATGGAAAAAAAAAATTTAATAGAAAAGAATAAAGTGGAAAGAAAATGTCACCAAAGTATAAAGTGGAAAGAGTTGAAAGGTAACAAAGAGATGAACTTTTTTTAAAAAATGCTACAAGAAACACAATGCAATTGGAATGAAAATGTAAATAATATATGGACAAACATAGCGGATTCTATTAGGAGTGTGGCGAAAGAGACTTTTGGGAGAGAAGAATGGAAAAAAAAAAAATTAATAAAAAAGAAACACGGTTGTGGAGTACTTAAATACAAAAGGTAATACAAGACAAGAGGAGAAGTTCTAAAGAATGGCAAAAAAAGCTAGAATGAAGAGGAACTAGAGAAATACAAGAAACTAAAAAATTAAGCTAAAAGGATGGTAGCTAGTGGCAAACAAAATTCCTTAGATGAGTTATATGGAAAGTGAGGTACAAAAGAGGGTGAAAAAAGTATTTATAAGTTGGCAAAAATTAGGAATAAATTAACAAGACATATGGATCAAGTTAGATGTAATAAGGACGTTGATAAAAAAATATTAGTTAAAGAAGATGACATGTTGAATAGGTGGCAAATTAATTCCAACAACTCCTAAATGAGGAATATCCTAGAGAGGACATTGAGAATACTAAGCCTAATTATTCAAGGGAAAAAAGCAATGAACCTAATCTTAGTATGATAGATAAAATCAATAGGAATGAGGTAGAGAACACATTGCGAAAAATGGGAAACAAGAAGGTGGAAGGACCGGATAATATCCCTATAGAAGTGTGGAGAACCTTAGGAAGAATCAGAAATGCCCAATGAGTGGAGGGAAAGTACTATAATACCAATCTACAAAAAAAAAGGAAACATACAAAATTGCAACAACTATAGAGGAATTAAACTAATGAGCCAGACTATGAATTAGGGGGAAAGGTAATAGAACAAAGACTAAAGAAAGGATGTAACGTGTCCAAAAATCAATTTGTATTTATGCCACAAAGATCAACAATAGAGGCCATTTACCTATTAAGGCAACTAGTGGAGGATTGTAGAAGTAAGCAAAAAGATTTACATATGGTTTTTATGGACTTGGAGAAGGCCTATGATAGAGTCCCAAGAGACATGATTTGTTGGGCCTTGTTGAAATATAAGATCTGTTGGATGTTAGACATATGTTACCAAATATTAGGCTACCTAACATTGTGTGGTAATGTTAGGTAGGCTGCGAAACTTTCTGTTGTAATGTTAGGTAGGCTGCCTAACATTTCAACTTCGTGCCTATAAATAGGCTTTGTATCACTTGCATCAATAACTACAATTTAAAGACAATACATTTAAAATATATACATTTTACGAAATTCAACTTGGTATCAGAGACGGGGATGGTACCATTCGCCCCATCCTCGGTGGCGTTCAAGGTGAATGTTGTTAAGGGTTTCTAGGTGCTATTGTGTGTTTTGTTTGGGCTCCCGGTGTGTTTGGCACTATCGTCCTTTGCCTTGTTAGGTTGCCGGTGTGTTTGGCACTATCGTCCTTTGCCTTGTTAGGTTGCCGGTATGTTCGGCATTATCGTCCTTTGCCTTGTTAGGTTGCCGGTGTGTTCAGAAGCATGGTGTTCGCCGTTTCCATATCTCCAACAGTATTTATTGCCTTATTTGGGTTGCCGGTGTGTTCAGTAGCATTGCAGTCTTATTGTGGAAAGGATACGGTTGATATCTTCGCTACAGCTTGATAGGGAGTGTTGGAAATCAGATTTAGACTAGAATTATTCAATGTTAGGTGGTCTGAACATTTGACCATTGAAGGCAATGTTAGGCTACCTAACTTTGACTATTGGAGGCATTGTTAGGCTGCCTCACTTGTTACCAAATTTTTTATTGTCATGCCTATAAATAGGCTCTTTGTACTCAAGTAAAATATAGAACTAAACATAAGTATACACAAGTTCATACAACTTAATAATAGAAATGCAGCCCTTAGTGACTCTTGTTCTATGGATGTAGGGCTTAGTGCCGAACCATGTAAATCTCTGTGTGTTCATCTTTCGTTGCTTCTTGATTTGCATTTTACAAAATTCAACTAAGTAGAAAATCTCAATATGTATGTATTTTGAATGCATTGTCTTTAAATTGTAGTAAATGATACAAGTGATACAAAGCCTATTTATAGGTACAAAGTTGAAAAGTTAGGCAGCCTAACATTACAATGTTAGGCAGTCTACCTAACATTACAACAGAAAGTTTGGCAGCCCACCTAACATTACCACACAATGTTAGGTAGCCTAATATTTGGTAACATATGTCTAACATTCAACAGATCTTATATTTCAACACTTCCCCGCAAACTCAAGATGGGTTTTTGGAAGCCAACTTGAGTTTGGAAACGAAATCTTGAAAACGATGTGGATCAAAAAAAGCATCCGAAAAAGTCGGAACAATGTCGAGAAAGGCCGGAACAACGTTGGGAAAGGCCAGAACTAAGCCGGTAAGCTGCCGAACACACCGGTAGCCACAACAAGGCAAATATGCTACGACGTCTCCTTAGACCATGGATTCAAACTTGCAACGCCCTCATTTTAGTAAACAAATTATATCTAAACAAGGAACAAAACCTAATAGAGGCAGAAAACACACTGCCCAAAACAAAAAACAACCCAAAACAGAGAGCTCTAACAAAATCGAACGACGAAAGAGAAATCTGGAAAATGACGCCAAGCACGCGGTGATGGCTACCAGAACGGAATGGCAACGGAGATAGAGACCTTAAATCTGCAAGAAGGGGATGATGATGGACCGCTACCGGAGATGAATCTTATACCACCATCTCCGACGGTGGCTTTGATACCAAGTAGAATTTTGTATATGAGTGCAAATATAAAATGCAAGATCAAGAAGCAGGGGAAAATGAACACACAGAGATTTGCATGGTTCGGCATTAAAGCCTACATCCATTGATCAGGAGCTACTAAGGACTACATTTCTATTATTAAGTTGAATGAACTTGTGTATACTTGTGTTTAGGTCTATGTTTTACTCGAGTACAAAGAGCCTATTTATAGGCATGACAATAAGAAGTTTGGTAGTAAGTTAGGCAGCCTAACAATGCCTCCATTAGTCAAAGTTAGGCAGCCTAACATTGCCTTTAATAGTCAAATGTTAGGATCACCTAACATTGAATAATTCTAGTCTAAATCTGATTTCCAACAGGCCTTACGAAGAAAACATATTCTTTTAAGACTTATAGAACTTATTCGAGATATGTATAAAGATTCTAAGATTAGAGTTCATACTATATGTGGAGATATGATTGATTTTTCCATAAGAGTAGTATTACACCAACGTTCAGCGCTAATTCCATTTTTATTTAGGGATAATTTCACCGACACCCCATCAGGTTTGGCCAAATATCACATTAAAACAATTTTCGAAAATAACTATCACTAAACCTACAAACGTTTGTTCTGTCTTTCATTCACACCCCAACCGTTATGTGTAGAACTCTGACACTATATAAAATGACTTAAATACCCTTTGACTTTGTCAAAAAGCCATATAACCCAAAGAATTAAATAAAAAGACTAAAATATCCTGACATACTTTACAAATTTACAATTATAATATATATATATATATGTGTGTGTGTGTGTGTGTGGTGTTTGTCAACAGGTGGACTATCCAATTAAGGGGAAGGTTGTCAGAAGCAGATGGCATCTTATCTTACCCAGCAGCTATAGTAGAATGAGTATATAGTAGACCAGTGGGATCAAACTTTCATTCTAATAGAAGATCTTCCCTGTTTACACTCTTAAGTTTAAACAATTTGCTTTGTTTTTGCTATTTCAAGTGTTGGGCAATTCCCTTACATGTTAGGTGTTGCTTAGATCGAAACTAGACCTCTTCTTCCTTTCTCACCACCACTAGTGACGTCGGCCACCACCATCTACCAGTCTCGCTATACTCACTCTAACTTATCTTCAACCATTATCCCCAGTTTGTGAATCAATTATTCAGAGTTTAAACCCATCACCAGCGCCACACCTCAATCACCGGCAAATCCCTCTTCTCTGGCGAAGCACTACCTCCCCTTCCTAACCAATAACTTTGTAATCCAATCTACCCATCGAAGTACCAATGCCCCAATCAACTACCACCACCAACAACTACATAATAGCCTCCACTACGACACTTGCCACATCCACTTCGATGACTCCATTGCAATTTTCGATGCCGTCATCGCACTGTCGTTCGCGTGCTTGCCATCGCAGTTCGGCAGCGTATCTATTTCTCCCAAATTTGATGTTTTCCTTACCACGGCGGGTCAATTAGGGTTCCAACAATTCCCTGTGTCGCCAACATGCCGAGCCTAGGTGGAATGATTTTTGAGAATTTTCTATTTATGTAAATACTCCAATCTGTTTCGACTTCAGCTTCGGCTTCACAGTTATATATGTATATATATTGTAAATTAAATATACGCGCAGTGTTTGTTTTGTCTTAATACAAAGTGGTTGTGGGGTTGGGATAGTGGTGGCGGCTGCTATTACAGTATTCATTAGTTGGATACAAAGTGGTGGTGGTGATTGTGGTCGGAGGTGGGATGACGGTGGTACACGTGCAGAAGAGGGAGAGAGTGAATTTTAGAGAGATAAACAAATGAGGGCAATTTTGTCTTTTAAGTTTGCTGATATTTTGAATTTAAATAAATAAAAAAAACTAGGGTAAAGTTGTCCTTTCACACGTTTTTAACGGTGTTAGTGACAGAAAAGCAAAATTGGACCTAACTGATAGTAATTTTCGAAAGTTGTTTCAGTGTGATATTTGGCCAAACCTGAGGGGGTGTCACTGAAATTAACCCTTTTATTTATGATAATCATGGATGAAATAACGAAGGGCTTGCAAGTAGACCTTCCATGATGCATGTTATTTGCGGATGACATTGTGCTATTGGATAGCCCTAAGGAAGCCTTAGCAATAATAATAGAAGATTGGAGAACGGTTCAAGAATCAAAAGGATTAAAAATTTGTAGAACAAAAACGGAATACATGGAATGTAAATTTATTAGTGATATAGGAATTTAGGAAATGATATTATAGTACTACCTCAGTCCCATTTTAAATGTCCACTTCGTGTGAGTTACAGTTCCCGAAGTGGACTGTTAATATGGAATGGAGGGAGTAATAAAAATTCAAGACCAAAGCATTGCTCAAAGTAATTACTTACCATGCTTAGGATCAATTGTACAAAAGGATCGAGAGATTGATGATGACGCAAGTAGTAGAATTGGAATAGGTTGGACAAAGTGGTGGAGGAACGCTAGTGGGTTTCTATGTGATAAACGAATGCAAATAAATTAAAAGGGAAAGTATATAGGACAGTAATTAGACTGGCTATGTTACATGGGGCGGAATGTTTGGCTCTAAAAATGAAACATGAACAATGCATCCATGTGGCGGAATTGCGGATTGTTAAGATGGAGGTTAAGAATAACTAAGAAAGATAGAATTTATAATAAAAGAATTAGGCAGAGACTAGGAGAGGCGCCTGTAAGTGAGGAAATAAGAGAGAGTAGACTAGGTGGTATGGGCATATTCAACGCCAACCTATAGATGCACCCGTGAGAAGGGGAAGATTGATTTGCATAGAGGGTGAGAGACATAGATGTCGACCAAAACTAACAAGAATGAAGTGATAAGAAATGATTTCAAAAAATTAAATCTAGAAGAAGATATGGCCTATGATAGAAGAGAGTGGAAAAAGAGAATCCATGCGGCCCGTTTGTATGGGATAAAGGCAAGGATGATGATGAATCTTCTGCTCTGTGAAGAATTTGTACATTAACGTCTCCTACTTCCCTTCACAGCTCTTTTTTCTGTGGCTGCTGTCGCTGTCTTGATTCCTTTATTAGGAGACTTGACTTGTAACTAGCCTTCTATTTTTTTCACATGTCCGGCAATAATGGATGCTTTTACAGAGTTATATAGTTTGTTAATTTAGTGCATGCTTATGTTCTCAGGTTCACCAAGTCCAGTGTTCAAGATATGCGAATCAATATGGCAATATCTGCTGTATTTGTAAGTATGAAGTGGCAGTGAAGTATCTGCTCTCTTTATTGTCGTCATTGTTGTTATTTTCTTTTGCAAATGTGGTTAGTCAATACAATGTCTATCACTGAAACTACGAGGATACGAATGTGCTTAATCATCAATACTAATTTTGTGCTAACTGGACATAAAAATGTGATTTGAAGTTCAGATTTTCAGTTTTTAGCTTCTTTTGCACATGCAGGGAATTGAGAAGTTAGAGGAGGCAATTACCATACAGCTTTTGGCTATCTCTAGATTTCAATTATGCAAGCTTTTCAAAATTTCAGATCCATGATTGACACTTTTAATAGATCTGTGCTGTAAAATTAGTTTATGTAGCCCTTAAATCAATGGTGTCAATTTTTTTGGTGAATAAAGGTAATACGTGAATGCAAGAGCTAACAGTCATGAAGTGGAACGGGTGTAAAAGCTGATTTGGGAACATAACTAAGAGGCGCTTGCTCTTTTGTGTGTGTGTGCGCGCGTGTGTGAGGGGAATAAAATTTAGTATGTCACTTCCCAAATCTGAGGTCACAGTCGAATTGTCCTTTCACCTCAACCTGGTGCGTGACCTTGGGATTGAATCCCAAAGTAAACACTATACGTACGTTATTTAATATCAGATTGGATAATTGTGTCATAAATATAATTTTCAATTCACTAGTTGTCACAGGGATCAAACTTAGCTTAATCTCCATTTGGCTAGGCCTCGGCTTAGGACTTTTTCAATGCTCTAACACTAATACTCAAATATAAATTCATAATGATTTCGTAAATACAACAATATGTCTCTCAGCATCTACAATGAAGTTTCTCAACTACTGCTCACCATGTATCATAACCTCACTACAAGGTTCACTCAGTGCACATAAATAAGATACTCAAGTCTCTACTCATTACCTGTTCTTCAATGTTGTTTCCTCTTTGCAATCAGACTATCTGATAGTAATACTAAATGTTGTGGAACTTGTGTGAAATTGTCAGTAACCATCAGATACGTTCGACTTTTTGGAGGAACAGGAAATTTTAGCTCCAACTTTTTTATTTTGGTAATTTGGTGCATTAAATTACTGTGCTTAAAAGAGATCATTGAGGTGCATGGAATATTAATTTGTAGGGACTGCAGTTATTGATATGTTTTCGTAGTCTAGCTCGTGTAATGCAATAAGTGAATCTGATTTTATATTGCCCATTTTTTTTTTTTTATCCATTTGGTACTGTTGCTTCTTCCTTTTCAGTGTTTTGATCCTCGATTTTTTTGTCTGTCTGCAGACAGCTTGGATTTTTATCAAACGCAATGCTGAATGGAAACCTTTGCAATTTTTAGCCTTTGTGTTTGTATATCGGATTTTTGAGAAGTTAAAAGCATTTGAACCAGCTGTATCCCCAACACTTACAGTAAGTTATACTAGAAAATTTAGACTCATGTCTTCATGTGCTGATAATCTTTTATTTCAAATGGATGAGGACTTCCTTAATCTAATGTTTCAATCTGGTGAATATTTAAGTTGATCTTCTCTGCAGGAAGATGGTGAGGATGAAGGGCGAGGTCTAAGAATGGGTAAAAGACTGCTTCGTTCTCTAGCACTGGTTTTTGGTTGTATAGCTGTTTCATCCTTGGTATGTGATTCTATTGGAGCATATATTGCATTATTGTGCTGTATACTTGTAATCTGACGGCCATAAAACTTCACTCTTCTGAGTTCCTTATATAAATTGTTGAGATATAAGGTGCTCATTTTGGATTCACTGGACTTCATTTTCCCTTTGCATCTTGTATCCATATTGAAATAATAATTCGAAATTTCACTTAGCTCTTCTCTTTTTGTGTGGCACTATCAATGACCTATCTGGACTTCATTTTCCCTTTGCAACTGCCGCTTACTATATATTATAATTCCAACAATCATATAGGATAATAACAAATCTTCTTCATCTATGGGCACTCTTCATTGCCAAAAATTGCCCTTATTCAATAACGTCCAACAATAATTGCTATACTCCATTTACTTATCAAAAAGAAATAATTGCTATACTCCATTTGCGTGTCTCAGCATATTCTCCAGCTTCCTTGAGCCCTCCCCCTTCTTTTTTTTTTTTTATTTGTCATTTCTCACTGGCTATTCCTCAAGCAAAGTCCTCAGTCCATGGTCTGCATGGCCCCCATGCATATATAATGACGGTGATGATTTCTTTCAGCACAGTGTTAGTGTTGTTTTAGCCACCTCTCTCTCTCTCTCTCTCACACACACACACATTACACAGACACATGTAGATGGAAAAAGCCCCAAATTCATATAAATAAATATTAATAAAGAGCCTTAGCCAATTTGGGAACCACACGTTTGATTGGCTTGTTTACAAATTGTGATTTTGTGCATGATCACTCCTTCAACACACTGGCGCACGCATGCACAGACGGATTTGTCAATTAAAAGAATATGTTACTAGGTCATTTTGTGCATGCTCACTCCTTCAACACACTGGCGCTCGCATGCACAGACGGATTTGTCAATTAAAAGAATATGTTGCTAGATCATTTTAGCAGCTTTAGCTGGATGCTGAGATAAATTGATTGTTGATATCTTTTCGTTTTTCAGTGGTTGCTATTCTCTTGATTGTCTTTGACTTTCCGGTTTCTTTATTCTTTGTTCCCATGTCACTTTTTCTTGTTTGGTTGGTTGCAGGGATTCACTGGTATCCTAAATTTGATCGAGTATGTGGGCAGTTTTATACCTGCTTTCTTATACAATAACCAGGTAGATTTGTTGTCATAAGCAAAAGGCTCTTATTTATGGGTATTTTGTATCATGCTTGTGCTTTTAATTCTCTTATGATGCATGGCATGTTGGTTGCATGTTTTTAATGAACATATTTCTTGCATTCATATTTATACTTCTAAGTGAGGAGACACATACCCATAAACACCACATTAGGATGCCTGAAAAGTGCTTGCTATTCTAAAACCTATACTTGAGAGAAGCGGTTCTTTAAGAAATTGACATTTAGATACATTAGACACTTTCATGGAGCTCTATTTCTTATGCATATTTGCAAAAACGCACCAAATATTGGCGGCTGTGCTTTCTATCAATGCAAAATGACTTTTTGTGTCCGAGCTGTTACAGCTCTTGTAATCTCATTCAGAAGCTACTTTAACAAACAGTCGTCAGACGTATATTTCTCAAGTGTGCAGTTGTAAAGCTGTTTTGCCAAAATGACTATGCAAAGAGTTTTAAACACATACAAATTAGTTGTAGCATTGTCAATGTATTGATCTTATCTCATCAGGTGGCTTGTTACGTGCCTGCAAATGACAAGTTTGTGCATGTGCAGGAACTGTTTGTGACTGCTTCAACGGCACTCATGCTCTACATTTTGGCTACATATTACAGATGATGAATCTTTTCCACTGGGTGAGGAACAAAAGCAAAGGTTACACCTGGGAATATGTTGGCTTTTCTGTTAATTTAGCTACCAAATTTTGTCGAATGAGAGACTAAAATCTTATAAGTTTTAACTATAGAAATAAGAAAATGGTATTGGTTTTAAGCTGTGATTATCGTACGAATGCCATTTTTTTTGCAGCTCGGGTTAGGGTTGCCTGCCACAATGCAGCCCACAAAAAATTCTTTCTTTTTGCTGCCATTTCTACCCAACCATGATCGAATGCAAGAATTATTGCTGCGATGTTGCCAAAGCGATTATGATTTTATAACATGCAGTGCATTAGAAACCACCTAAGGATTAAACCGGGACAACATGGATTCGATTGAAGTCCATTAGATGATGTGTTCTATACTAAGATTGTTTCTGGGTTGGTTAATTTTCTTATAGGGTTTGGAAGTTTTTTAGGAAATCTTTTTTGCTGCTAAATTTAATGGGCTTCATGGTATGGTATGTTGCACTGGCTCAATCCATTTTACAGTTGATTCTTTTAATCCAGTATTCTATTTTATTTATTTATCTATCCAAATGCAAACTGGTTAAAGGCTATGGACCAAGAAAACAAGCAAATGAGACTCTGTAAACAAAAATACAAAGTTCAATGGTGTCATTTCGACTTTTTATTTAGAAGGAAATTAGTACCTGGTGGAAGTCTTGAGACCCGAGAAATTATTACATGATTCGGGATTACATGGTCCCGGCTTACCGCACACACCTCGACATGCAAACAAAAATTAGAATAAAATTGACGCATTTGCTTACATGTTAAAATTGCGATTTGTCCGGACTATGTAGTTTGAACTCATGTAAAAAAAAAAAAATTTACAAATTTGCTTCCATGTTAAGTTGTTATTGTCGTGTAATTTTGGACCATGTAATTTTTTTTTTTGAGAGGACCCGATTTCATCTCCAAACTGTCCCAATCCAAATTCAAACTGGTTAAAGGCTATGGACCAAGAAAACAAACAAATGAGACTGAAAACAATAGTACAAAGTTCAATGGTGTCATTTCGAATTTTTATGTAGAAGGAAATTACTATCTGGAAGTCTCAGACTTGAGAAATTATTACATAATCCGGGATTACATGTTCCCGGCCAATCACGTCTCGACATGCAAGAATAAAACTTTTATATTTACTTCCTTGTCAAGTTGTGATCTGAGATGTAATTTCAGACCATGTAAAAATTGACCCAAATTTATCTCCTAGTTGTCCCAATCCTCATTATTGAGTGGATCTAGACTGTGCTGTATTGTAGTGGTTGCCTTGATGTTCTCTCTCAAGTGTCAAAATGGGAGTTTGAGTTTTAAGAGCAATCACCTGTCCAAATAATTTGTGATTACTAGCCATTGGACCTTATATTTTCCTAGAAATGTTTATTACTACTTATTTTGGTCAATACCACACCCTCGTTATCACCAATAAAAATCCCATATTAGGATAATCATTCACTCTTTTTTTTCCATACAGTTTAGGGAGGTAAAGTAAATACAAGTGGGTCACAAGGCCCTTAGTTAATCTTATAATTTATTATGCATCACTTTTCAAAATAAGATGATAATACTTGATAAACGATTAATTGACGTGACGTATTCGATATCATAAGATCACAACACAATTTTTTTTTCAGGGAAATAGCAATGAACAGGATCCAAATCCAAAATTCCACATCCTTGAACCACAACGATGGTAAGTTTAGTGATGATAATTACGATATCAAGGTTAAATATATATTAGACCCGTAGATTCATAAATGAATCTATATTTGATTTGTTATTAATAGTGTATGATTCCAATAATCCAATCTGATAAAGTGTAATTTATTTATTTATTTTTGAAAAAAAAAATTAAATAAAAGATAAGGACAAATAATGATTATAATACAAAGGAGACAAAACAGAAGACAAATAAGATATGGAATAAAAAAAATAATAATAAAATTAGATATTTTACTCTTTCTTAAAGAAAAAACTATATGTTATAACATAAAATAATATTTGTTAAAATATTATTATTTACCATTTGATTTGTTTAGTTAATGAATCTTCGAATTGTTAAAGGGTTACGGTTATCGAATTGGATTTAGATCAAGATCCAACTCAATGATGGGCCTACTCAAATAGGATTCAAGTCGGTTTAGTCCGAAAGTACAATCCACACTAGTAGCCAAGGCAGAGAGGTAATCTCTATTCTTCTGTATTGATTATTGAACTTGCAAAACCGCACTCCCAGGGAGAGAGAGAGAGGAGAGGAGAGGAGAGCTGAAGGAGGCCATAGCTGTTCTTTATTTTCTACATTTTTGTCACATTTACATCAACCACATATAGTACCTTTAGAAAGAGAGAGGAAGCGGCAAGAATCACAGTAGGTTTCAAGCCCTAGACCGCCACCGCCACCGCCACCGCCGCAACCTCTCTCCTCTCCAAAACCCTAGAAGTTGTCGTCCTCGTCGGAGGGCCAAACAAATCGAGCGAAGATGAGGATTATGATAAAGGGAGGTGTTTGGAAGAACACCGAGGATGAGATCCTGAAAGCTGCGGTCATGAAGTATGGCAAGAACCAGTGGGCTCGAATCTCGTCCCTCCTTGTTCGCAAGTCCGCTAAGCAGTGCAAAGCTCGCTGGTACGAGTGGCTCGATCCTTCTATCAAAAAGGCACGTATCAGTCAATCAAAACCCTTCTTCTATTGTAATTATTGTGGCTCAATTCCTTACTTGTATGATTGATATGATTATTCTATGGGGTTATGGTGTTATATTTGTGGGTTTAGCCTAAATTTTGTTGGGTATTTACTATTATGGGGTTTTCTTTTATGAGATTGGAAAAGTGCTCTATTTGTGTTGCTGAGACAATGTAGGAAGGAAAAAAAATCGAATTTTGAATTTATATTTTATGATATTTTGATTTCAGAAATTTGGGAAAGTAAATTACTAACTTTGATCTCATTCTAGGGCCTAAAAACTAGAATTAGTAGTTCAGTTGGTTATAATGTTATTGTTATTGTCGTTATATTTGTTTGAGTTTTTGGGTTTGGATTTAATGATTCTGCCTTTTGGGTTGACTGTAATGTAGGTATTCTTTGTAAACCGCTATGTTGTTTTTCCATTTTATTTGTGTTCCAAGTTTTGGCCTGCATCACAGTGCAAATATTTTTTCAACACTAGGGAATTGATGAATTAACTACAATATTCTTTGTAGACCGAGTGGACTAGAGAAGAAGATGAGAAACTGCTTCATCTTGCTAAGCTCATGCCCACACAGTGGAGGACTATTGCCCCAATTGTTGGTCGTACTCCATCCCAGTGCCTTGAGCGGTATGAGAAACTCCTTGATGCAGCCTGTGCTAAGGATGACAACTATGAACCAGGTGATGATCCACGGAAATTGCGTCCTGGAGAGATTGACCCGAACCCAGAGTCAAAGCCTGCACGTCCAGATCCTGTTGATATGGATGAGGATGAGAAAGAAATGCTTTCAGAAGCAAGAGCTCGGTTAGCTAACACTAGGGGCAAGAAGGCAAAAAGGAAAGCGAGAGAGAAGCAGCTTGAAGAGGCCAGAAGACTTGCTTCTTTACAGAAAAGAAGAGAACTAAAGGCAGCTGGAATTGACACTAGGCAAAGGAAGAGGAAAAGAAAGGGGATTGACTATAATTCTGAAATTCCCTTTGAGAAGAAGCCTCCTCCAGGCTTTTATGATGTTGCTGATGAAGATCGACCAGTGGAACAGCCCAAATTTCCTACTACTGTTGAAGAACTTGAAGGTGAAAAAAGAGTCGATAAGGAAGCGCGATTAAGAAAGCAGGATATTGCAAGGAACAAAATTGCACAGAGGCAGGATGCCCCATCGGCTGTATTGCAAGCCAACAAGCTTAATGATCCAGAAACAGTTAGGAAGAGGTCAAAACTGATGCTTCCCGCACCACAGATTTCTGATCATGAATTGGAGGAAATTGCAAGAATGGGTTATGCCAGTGATCTTCTTGCAGGGAGTGAGGAACTGACAGAAGGGAGTGGTGCCACACGTGCTCTTATTGCAAACTATGCCCAGACACCAGGGCAGGGAATGACCCCATTACGGACCCCACAAAGAACGCCTGCAGGTAAGGGTGATGCCATTATGATGGAAGCAGAAAACCTTGCCAGGTTAAGAGAGTCTCAGACACCATTACTTGGAGGAGATAATCCAGAATTGCACCCTTCTGATTTTTCTGGGGTCACTCCTAAGCGAAGGGAGATTCAAACACCAAACCCTGTGTTGACTCCTTCAGCAACTCCTGGAAGCGTGGCTCTTACACCTAGAAACAGCATGACACCATTGTCAAGGGATGGTTACTCTTTCGGTATGACCCCAAAAGGAACTCCCTTAAGGGACGAGCTTCACATAAATGAAGACATGGATATGCAAGATACTGCTAAACTTGAGCTCCGAAGACAAGCTGATTTGAGAAGGAACTTGCGTTCCGGTTTAACCAATCTTCCACAGCCCAAGAATGAGTACCAGATAGTTATCCAACCAGTTCCAGAAGATACTGAAGAACCGGAGCAGAAGATTGAAGAAGACATGTCTGACAGGATTGCTAGAGAGAAGGCTGAGGAAGAAGCAAGGCTGCAAGAATTGCTTAAGAAGAGATCGAAAGTGCTGCAGAGGGAACTTCCTAGACCTCCCGCAGCTTCACTGGAGCTAATTAGAAATTCATTGATGAGAGCTGATGAGGACAAGAGCTCCTTTGTTCCTCCCACTTTGATTGAGCAGGCCGATGAAATGGTAAGAAAGGAGCTTGTGTCCTTGCTGGAACATGATAATGTTAAGTATCCACTTGATGAAAAAGCAGAGAAGGAGAAAAAGAAAGGAGGCAAGCGGGCTGCAAATGGAAAATCTGTTTCTGTCCCTGAGATAGAAGATTTTGAAGAAGATGAGCTGAAAGAGGTATGTGTTCTATTGTATCTGTTAATTTGCTGTCTTGGTCATGAAATCTTTTATTCCATGTTTTCTTATAATGGTTTCCTGAGCACCTTGGTTCGGGCCATGGACTAATTTTGTGTCAAATATGGTTAAGGCCATGGGCTAATGAATTGAGTGCATGGTCTTTATTTTATTTTATTTTTAATATTTTAAGGATCATGCTTATCTTCCTCTTTTTATTTATTTTTATTTTCATGTTTATCTTCTCTTTTTTGTTAGCATATGGTGTAATTGAGGCCGTGACTTTAAATTATGTAACCGACCCCAAATAGTTGGAAAAAGACACTGTTGAGTTGAGTTGTTTTGTTGGCTTTCTTTTCTTTTCTTCTCTCATCTTCTTCTTCTTCTTTTTTTATAATTTTATTTTTTATTTTGTTTGTGTGAATTACTATGTTAGTTTGCACTATTCCAAACTACAGTAGCATGACATCTAATATAGAGGATCAGGTTAAGGGTTCAATTATCATCATCAAGAATAAATAGGATAAATCATTGAAGCTTATACTCTCCTTATCTGGAAGTCCTCTCTTTAGTATTGTGGCTTTCACCGCTTTAATAGGAATTTGTTTATATTCCCCAAAGAAAGTTTAAAAAGTAGTTCCGTTTACTAATAATTAATGACCCAGACCAGATGTATGAGTTGACATACGGCCTTTGACCAATGACCAAGGTTTTGTGTGCAATTCCTAGAGGCACCAAACCTCTGCCTTGGGCTCACTCGATACCCGTGGTTTGTGGATGATTGCAAATATCTGAAGGGATTAATGTGCCTCCAAGAGGATGGGGACCATGGTCCAAAATATCGGTCATTATATAGCGACCCAACTAGACTTGATCTAGTAAGATATCATTAAAAGCATCCAAGAGGGGGGCGCGCCCAAGGATACAAAAGCTTAAAACGAAAAAATCTAGCTATAATTTCAAGCTATCTACAAAATCCACAAATTCCCCCTATAGATTTACAATATTTCCCATTGACCCAAAAGAATAAAGAACTCAATATAGAATGTTTGAGAGACCAAATCGGGTTTCCTTCCCATTGAAGGACCTCCTATATATCTCTCTCCACAACCACCACCATAAACAAAGGGGCTTGACCCTCCAAACATCCTAGACCTGTCTATCCATTGTACAATCCCTCCAAGCCTTGATCAGGTCCACCATGGGACCGGAAAGAACCCAATGAACTCTACAAAGAGCAAAAAAAAAAAAAAAAAAGGCCCAAACAGCCCTCACCACTGGACAGTGCAAGAGAAGATGGTTGATCAACTCCCCATCCTTCTTGCACATGCAACACCAATTCACAATGATCCGACACTGCCTCCCAAGGTAGGCAATCATCATAATCCTTCCAAGGGCTACTGAGCAAGACACTTTCTTATCTATGATGAACTATGGCTTTGTTTCTTTTCAACTGAGCTATGTCATTTGGATCCGCTTTTTTCCGAGTACTAGGCTTGCTTTTGGGGCTTTTATGTGGGTGAGTTGAGAAAAGAAGCCACTTTCAAGGAGACTTTGGATCTCCAGATGGCTTTCCAAGGGAAGGAAGACCTCCAGCCCAAATACAAGCCTTTGATAGAATAAGCACACCTTGAAAACCTCCCTCAGAGAACCTAACTAAATCAATTCATCAATTCCCTACCCCTTCACATCTTGACTATAAAGCAAGGCCAAGAACTCCGCAACCTCCTTCAATTCCCAGTCATGAAAATTCCTCTCGAATTGCACATCCCAAATCACCCTCCTGCTTTCAAGCCAATAATAGGCAGCAACTAGAGCCTGCTTGTTCAAGGCAATCCTGAAAAGCCACGGAAACTGGCAAGCAAGCGGTCTATCTAGGAACCAAAGGTCTTCCTAAAACAGCACGAACCTCCCACTCCTTACTCTGAATCAAATATTCTTGGAAAGCTCATTCCAACCGTTCCGAATGAGATTCCAAGCCCCCATGCTGACCAAGGCCTGTATCTCCTTAGAGGGCCAACCTTCTCTCTCCTCCGGCCCTCCCCCACCTTACATAAAATAACTCTCCTCCACAATCTAGATCTCTCTTCTTCCCAAACTTCTATAGCCATTTGCCCAATAAAGCCTTGTTGAACAAATCTGACTGCATGATGTCTGGCCCTCCTAGCTGTAGAGGAGTGTTAGCCTTCTCCAATTCGTCAAATGGAACTTGAAATCGTCACTCATACCACCCACAGAAAGTCCCTTTGCAACTTCTCCAATCTCTTAGGAACCACAGATTGCGTGTGGAAGAGAGAGAAGAAGTAAGTTGGAAGACTAGATAACTCTTCAAAAGCTTACGGCGGCCCCATCCAACAAGCCTCTTCTCGAACCATTCCACCATTGCATCTAGTTATAGCTCGATAGATTAATCTGAATGAAAATCAAAACGGACTTGGCCGGAACTCGGCTGGGACTCAAACGGACCCAGCCAAGTCAACCCTTTTAAGCTGGCAGACTCCATCCTTTTAAGCTGGCATACTCAATCCTGCCTATTTTTTCTCATGCTTTCTTTATGCATCATCCTCTGTCACCTTTAAATTCATTATGAATCATAAATATCTGAATCAAACCTTAAAAAATTAAGATATTGGCTTAAATCTTCTTTTTTTATTTTTTTTTTATTTTTTTATTTATGTTTAAGTCTCCTTTGACTCATTAGTTTAGTCAAAAGCATAAATTACTAAGACTTATTGCGGTGAATAACTTAAATTGCATGTATAGGCCATTACTCATATTAAATGGCTTTTTAAAAAATTAACAAAAATCAATAAAATTCATTAAAAATACGTGTTTATTGGATTCTTTAGTAAAAATTTGCGCTTCTGTATGTTTTCAGCCTTATGTGTGCGGTTCAAAAGAATTTACGATTGCGACAACCACTTTTGCTACATTACATCTGCTTCAGGCCTGCATGTGTTGCACTCCACATCTTGAACCATGATGGGGACACCCTCCATTATCCCACAAAAATAAAAATTAAAAATAGATTTTTATTGAAGTACTATTTTTAAAGTTTTTGAAAACAAACTTTTATTTTTTATTTAAGAAGTTACATGCAAGAGGGAGTAGGAGGTCTCTTTTCTGAAGATTACAACAAGAATATAAAAACCTGTACCTCCGTAGCATGACTAACTAAACATTCTCTAGTACGTCTCTTTTAGCTAAAAGGTAGGCTTCTGAATTAGCTAGTTTTAGAGATCTGAGAGTAATAATCTTACTCCTAATAAGGTCCAAAGTCTTTCTGTTTGCATAAGAAGTTGTGTGGCCTAGAAATTTGGTTAGTAGTTCACTAAGAAACATTAGGTGAACTATTTTTGGCAATTAAGGTACTTTGTACACGGCAGGAAAAATTCAGATGCTCTGCTAAGGAAGAAATCATGCACAAGTTGTTTTTGGAGAAAACAATAAAATGTCCTTGTTACAATTTCTGCACGACCCTCTGGGGATGTACAACATGGTGTCACATGGACAGCCTTTGATGAAGATGGGTTTGGTATAATTAAATGTTAGGAAGGTAGTGCTTTTTTTTTTTTTCTTTTTTTTCTTTTTTTTGATAAGTATTAGGAAGGTAGTGCTTTGACTTGTTTGGTTTATGATTTAACAGATAATGTTTAGGATTCTGGAGTCTTACCTGAAATTAATTAATGGAGCGAGTGAAACTGTGTAAAAGTCTTGTCATTGTTACTAATTAATTGTTTCAATTCTCTCTAGAGATTATTAATTTTTGGATAAATAATTCTCTCTAGAGATTTTGATTGTATAGAAGCACACTTTGGTGAAATATGAACTTTCAGCTTTAGGAAATCTTGATACACTAGATATCTAATTAAGAAAAAGAAAAAGAAAAACCAATAGCCAAAGCACCTTAACTTATAAAAATAAAAAATAAAAATAAAAAATAAAAAGAAGCCAAATCACCTTAACTTGGTTTGTGAAATTAATAAACTATTCTTTATAATTGGAAAAATCTGTTTTTCCTATATAATATAAAATTAGAGACAGACGCATTCTTGAGATGGTTGAGTAGCACTAGGTGAACGTAGGATTAATATAATATTTTTTAATAATTGGAAAAAATCTGTTTTTTGTATTTAGTAATATAAAATTAGAGATGAACGCATTAATGAAATGGTTGAAGCGGCACAAATTGAAGATAAAATAAAAGATGATAGATTTAAGTGCTGATTGATAAAACTGAAAATTAAGTATTGAAAATTTTGAGCTAAATTATTAGTGTTGAATTTCTTTTAAGTGGTGGTTGAAGAAATTCTTAGATAATTTTTTGGATTTAATTGTTCAGTGATAAATAAAGTCACTATAACTTAAATTTTTAATTGGTTTTAAGTGGAGTTTATTTTTATTTGTGATATTCAAATTGCGTTATCAAACATGCTCAATCAGATAAGCACTTAATTTATTCTGATTTATATAAATCAAGTGCTGAATTGGGTTATCAAACAGATAAGATGGTTTGGGTCATGTGTAGCGACAATTAATAATGCACCAATTGAAAAAAATAGGGTGAAGGGCAGAAAACACCCCTATTGTATACTTCTGGTAGCACTTTTACCCCCTATTTGAAAAAGTGTGCAAATAACACCCTTAATCTTTTAACATTGTGCGAAAACACCCCTCAAATAGAAATCTGACCTAAAATAATGTTGCAATGCCCATTTTGCCCTTTTACTCTTCCGAAAATACTCAAGGAAGTTTTGTGTATATATTTTTTTCTTGATGGGTTGGCCCTTTTCAATCTGGGTCAGACCCAGATCAAAGTGGGCTCACCACATGAGATGTGATCTGTTTCGCAAACCAGAGAGCCCTCGCTCTCGCACATCAAGGTCTGGCTACGATAGTCGCCGGAAACTAACTCAACACCATTGGGCTCATTCTCAGGCCGACAAACACCTCCCTCCACGGCGTCACATTACTTCTCGCAGCCATCTCCACGCCGAGAAAATCTTCGTACGCAGCAGAAACGTCTCAATCCTTTTAACCAGATCGCCGCCGCCGCCATTAAGAGACTCCAACACCGTTGAGTGTAACTCAAGCCTGTTTATGATTCACTCATGGAACGATAACATCCCACCATCTATTAATCCTTCGTTGTCATCGTACACCACCACGTGTGGTGAAATTCGCTGGAGATCAGTCAAAATTCCGACGCCGACAGGTCAGAGGATTGTCGGAGATAAAATAAAGACTGTTTTCTCACCACCCATGAGTCTGATTACTTTGAACAATAAGAATTCAAAGGTACGAATCGAAATGAACTCGATATCACCCAATTCTCAACTCACCATCGAACTGACCCAGATTGTCTCTGACCAATCCCGATTCAATTCGCATTGTGAGCACCTCTCTACAATGGCTTCAATTTAACATTTTTCCCATGTCGTCGCCGATCAAGTCCAATACATTGCTGTAGGGAACAAAATCTTCCTCAAAGATCCATTCTTCACTCTACCAAACTCTTCAAACACCAGGCTGTGATAAGACAATCAAGCATTCCTCGCCCCATTCAGCGTGTCTATATTCAGATCCTGCCATCTTCAGCACTGTTGTCCCCTTCTTCACTGTCTCATCATTGTTGCCGGAGTATTCTCTGGCTGTCGTATTTGTCCTCATCAGAGCTTCCTTCAGTCACCGCTGGTTTGAGAGAGAAAGAAAGGGGAGAGAGAGAAGGAGACCCCAGTTTTTTTAAAAAAAACTCAGGCTGCTGTCACATGGGCTAATGGAGCAGTCCTCACTTTGCTGTGGGTTCATTTTGTGTCATTTTCTCTAATTTTACAACATAAGTATTTTAAAATAATTTATAAAATGTCTCATAAGGGCAATTTAGGCAAACTAACTTAAATGTGTCAGGGGGACTTATTTGCACCAAATCAATACTTTGAGGGTGTTTTGTGCACGTGAGGGGTGTAATATGCACTGTAAGAACAGTATAGGGGTGTTTTCTGCACTTCACCCAAAAAAAATAAGTGACATGGTCCTTATTGAGGGTAATGTTGGGGAAGTGCAAGATTGAAACTAACGTGGGATGAGATGGTTAGAAAATATGATAGTATGTAGTTTAAATGAGGTTATGGTCTTAGATAGAGCTGAATAGAGAAACATGATTCATGTAGTTTACTCCAAATAGCTAAGTTGAAACTGCGTATCTTTAATCAAATCATCTTAGAAGTAGTCCTTATCCTAGCAATGATTTATGATGTTGATTCCCGTAGTGGGTTACCAGTTACCTACATAGAATCTTCAACATTAATTTTAAATTTATTGGGAGGAGAGGGCTTGGAGACTAAGATCTGGCAAAAGAATTAGCCAAATGCTAGAGGCAAGAATGCAAGTCTATACAAGAGGCAAAAATCGCGTTGCTAAAATCAAGAGATAAAATATAAATTTGAACCTCATGGGTTTGTTAGGTGCGTATTGTAACAAGAAAATGTGGGAATTTGAGCCCTTGAATCCTTTGAGCATATCCAATCCTCAGTGATCTTAACATTTTCATTCTTCAAGATTGGCAAACAGCTCACGTCTTCCCTTTTTAGCCCAAATTATGTAGCTAAGCAATGGCAAACAGCTCACGTCTTCCCTTTTTAGCCCAAATTATGTAGCTAAGCAGTGGTGAACATGGAATTGATCAACAGAATGTGATTCCTTGACTGAGCTTTGACTTCTAATATTATGGGTTACGTCTCCGATTATCTGTTTGCGTGAGGTCGGCTGGGTCAGATTGGCTTGTATTGAGCTGGAGTGGAGCCAAGCTCGATTTTGCAAGTTTTATTTTGAGATGCTCAAGCTCTTAAGTCAAGCTTGCACATTAGCAATTTTCTGTGAAGAAGATCAAGAACAGAACTGTTTAAGAATCAATTTGAAGAACTATTGATAAGAAATTAAATTTAGTTTTTTTATTTTCATAACCATTCTAAAGTCAATAATCTTGGTATTGAAGTTGAAAGGAGCCCTATTATTTGTCAAGTTTTGAAAGAAAAAAGAAATCCTATTATTTGTCAAATCAGTATAAAGCCCTTATAGATTGATTGAACCCAAAAAGGGAATCCGAAAGTTAACATCAGTACCCTTGTTTTTTGTAATATAACTGGGGAGAGGTGCATGACGATGTTATTGTTGTCTAAGGTTTTGCACTGCTGTATATTCTTTTATAGTCTGTGGCTATAACGAATCAAGATCACTTTGGTTTGAAGGTAACTGCCATGAATGTTGAGGGAGGTCCCCTTCAGGAATAGCCTAACAACGAGAATGGAGCATAAAATCTGCATTGAAAATATGATATTGTTAAATTTCTAATGATTAATAACTAATGGACTTCTTTAAAATGTATATTACAAGCGATGCTTACATTCTACCGACCTAACAAGCCAAGCTTGGGGCGTTGACCTCATTTATTAAACAAGCCTTAAATAAGGCTAGAAATAGGCTTCTTTGTTAAATAATTGAGTTTAAAAAAAAAAAAAAAATGGTCTTACATTCTGTTGCACCCATTGTAGTTGATTCTGATCTCCACTTTGTTTAGTGCCATTTCAGCTGCAAATAAAAACAAGCTACTTTTTGCAGGCTGATTATTTGATTAAGGAAGAGTCTCAGTTCCTCTGTGTGGCAATGGGGCATGAGACTGAGTCCCTCGATGAATTTGTTGAAGCGCACAGAACATGCTTAAATGATATCATGTACTTCCCAACCCGTAATGCTTATGGTCTCTCTAGTGTTGCTGGTAACATGGAGAAGCTCGCTGCATTGCAGAGCGAATTTGAGAATGTGAAAAACAGGATGGATGATGATACCAAGAAGGCACAACGTCTTGAGCAGAAGATAAAGATACTTACAGGTGGTTATCAGGTATGCTACAAAATTTTTGGTTAATTTATACTTATATTTGAATCTCTCTGTTTAACTTTTTTGCTCCTAGTTAGTTCTCACATTAAGATTCTAATATGGGTTTACTTGTCAGTTTCCTTAGGTGGTTATTACTCAGCACAAATCATTTTATAACAGCACATTTTCCCAGCCATATCTAAAAAGGGTTTAGTAATCTGAGTTGAATACAAATCTTTGAGGTGTCTGAAAGTTCTGACATATTACTATTTTCAATCTTTGTTGTCTTCAACGGTAAGACCTGTGTTGAGGCTTACTAGTTTGCAAACTTTATTACAATTACTTAATGATCAGATATTTCTCTGTCTACTGTTGGGGGATCAAGTAATTGGTCTAAGTTTAAGCTTATGTAAACTCGTGGCTTATATTAACATTAAAAGAAAACACCTTGAAAACTCCTTATTGAGGGCCATCAAACCTTTATACCTGCCATTACTATCTGTTTTATTATTGTTTGTTCTTGAGTTTATATAAGAATCATGATGTAGTTTTTGAATAATTGGACATTTCAAATGATCAGATGCGGGCAGGAAAGCTTTGGTCACAAATTGAGGCAACCTACAAGCAGATGGACACTGCAGGGACAGAACTTGAGTGCTTTCAAGCTTTGCAAAAGCAAGAGCTGTTAGCAGCATCACATAGGATCAATGGCCTCTGGGAAGAAGTTCAGAAGCAGAAGGAGCTTGAGCATACTTTACAGAAGCGCTATGGAAATCTTATATCTGAGCAAGAAAGGATCCAAGAGCTCATGGATGCTTACAGAGTACAAGCTCAGATACAAGAAGAAATTGCAGCAAAGAATCGTGCCCTTGAGTTGGCTGCTGCTGCTGCAAATAAAACTGATGTTGTAAACACTGAAACTCCTGAGCCTGTTGCATCCTCTGATGAGTTTGGGAACTCTATGCCAGTTGACCCATGTCATGATGAAACTCAAAGTCAACAGATGGATGCTGCTCAAGTGCAAGCTTATGGAAGCCTAAAACATGACATGGATGTCGATGTAGTGGAAGAGAATGCAACTCCAGGGATGGATGTTAGCTTATCCCAAGTCATGCCTTCTGCTACTGAGGAAGAGTCTCCCATTACTAACATTTCTGAAGGCTCCGTTTCTGCTAATAATACACCACTCCCCAGTGTGGTTGCAGATCACTCTAGAGGAGTCTCACTTCAAAATTCTCTCGAGAAAGGGGATAGCCATTCTGAACTGATTGTCGGAGAAGAGATTAAGATGACTGGTGACCCTGTCAATGGAACTGCTGGTGAGGATTTAGCTGCTGATGATCCGCAGAATGCTGTGGAAGACAAAATCCATAGTGTCTTGACCAAATCAGAGGAAATTTTACAAGAAACAACAGAAGATGGTTATGTTAATGGGGACCATGCACAAGTTATTAGCGGCACAGGGCAGACGGTAAATAAGGAAGATGAGTAGAAATCTTGCTGCGCAGGTATTACAGTAACCTCTAAGCAGTTGATGATACCATCAGGCCCAAGTGTGTTTGCATGTTCTTAAGGTGCTCATTGGGGCTGTTCTCAGAATTGGGACTATTATTTGCACTCCTTCAATTTTGCCTATTTGTGTCGTGTAAGAACCAGATGCACTCTTGGTTGCGTGAAGCTGCAATTGTTAAATTAAGGGGTATGTCAACCAAAATTTTATAATGAACTTGGGGAGAGATCTATATATCTCATCATGCAGATGGTAGAAATATAATAAGATCGATGAACTTTTACGGTATGTTATTTTTGAAGGACAATGTATTGTTGAGCCACATTTTCCTGTTAGATCATATTAAAGTTCTTGATTTTGTATCTTGGGGTTTTACAAGAGTACCAGGATCAATTAGTTTGTGTTTGGATGAGGAATTTGGGAGGAATCTTGGGCAAAAGAATATTTCAGAATTTCCAGTATCACATTCCTTTTGAGTCCTATAGTATAGAGAGTTTAAAGTTCCCTCAAAACTGCCAAATGGGGTGATTTTTGGATTCTCAAAACCAAGAGTTGAGAGCAGGCTGGGTGGTTGAGCTTTTCTAACGGGTGTATCCAATTTGAGATCTTTATGGAATTATTTTATTCTTTTATTTGCTGAATCCCAAAATGATTTTTTATTTTTTTTATTTTTTTTTTTTTAACTTTCTTTTCTGGGAGTTAAAGCTGAATATGCTCCTCACGGAACTCCTCAGATCTCTTTTTTAAGGGAGGAGAGATCATACTAATCGGGCTAGTGGCATTTATTCTCTGCTCATTTCAATCAAAATGGGTGAAGTGTATTCAGACAGAAATTGTGTGGTTTGGTAAAAAGTTAGTATTTATTTATTTTGTTTTATCATATATAATTTGAAATAGCAATCTCAAAACTTTACGAAAATATAATGTCGAAAGATGATTGCCAAAGAAGCATAAAACTCCTACCAAGGTTGTATAATGTCAAAAGATGATTGCCTAAAAGGCATAAAACTCCTACTAAGGTTGTAGTTTGATGATACTTTCTCACTTTTTAAAGAGTTCAAGTCCTCTAGGGGTAAAGGGTGTTATCAGACAAGTGGGTGAATTTCAGCTAAAAATAATGGATGAATAAAAATATATTAATATTTTTGCATGGTTTTTGCAATGTTGTGTGATTTGTTTCAATATTTCACATCCTTTCTTATTCATTTGATATATGTATTATATGATAAAGTTAACAAAGTGTGAGACTGAATAATAGTTTAGTGTTTAATTACTAAACTACCTTAAGTAGTGCAGTGTAGTGTAGGTATAAAATAGTAAAAACTATTATAAAATACTTGTAAATTGAATTTTATGTTAGTTAAACACTATTGGTGGATTGTAATTGTGTTTGGGAAAAAATAAAATAAAAGAGAAAACATTTAGGAGAAAACGGGGCGGGTGGAAAAACATACAGCGGGAATAAGGTTTTCTTAGGGCCCGTGATGCTTTTGCTCTTATCATGCTGTTTTTGGTTTATTTGGTTTTCTTAGGGTGTAATTGTGTTTTTGGTTTTCCCTTAAATTCATAAAACTTTCTCACACAGGTATTACAAATCTGCAATGTGTTTGGGTTTTATTTCAATGGCATAAGAGAACTTCATTTCTTTTTCCAATAAATGTAAATTATATTTAAGAAAATAAAAACAAAAGACAAGTGAATTCAAAATTTCTCGTAATACTTTTACAATGCAATTTTATCACTATTTTGTGGGGGGGATGACATATGTGGTATATCTTTAGAGATATGTGAGAGGTTTAACATAACATTAATAAAATGATTACTCTAAAACTTACTTCTAAATTTACTTTTAAAATTCATTAGAGTTAACTAAAATATTTTTATATGTAATTAGAATTTGAACCATGTCATTTTTAATTTTTATAATATTATTTATTTTTCTAGATTTCTTCTCTATTTGGCCAATTCTCTCGCTCTCTCAAAATATTTTTACTCTAAATATTGCATTTTGTAGCACTTAGCTAGTTTACTTGCTTCGCGTCTTCTCCACGCATCACGCCAACTATTGCCTGACTTATTTTTCTAGATTTCTTCTCTATTTAGCCTTTTTTGTCATCTTTCTCTCTCACTCTCTCTCACACACCACACACACAGAATCGTAAGGAAGAATTTGTTCCCTCCATTCTCTGTAATCTACCGGACCACCACCGATTCTCTGATTTCTTGGTCGGAGAAAACACCATGAACGGCCAGCGAACTCGAACGGACGACCCGTTCCTCCTGAACTACAACGCCACCGACCTGCGAATCGCGTCGGAATTTCTCTCCAATTGGCTTCCTTTCCTCTCCAGAGGTCTCTGTAGCCGCTGCACTCGAACCCTCTCAGACCGCATTCGATCCCTTGATCCAGGTACAAAAACCCCTCTTTTTATGTATCACACACACACACTGTTCTTTAATTGATATTAATGTCCATGACAAATATATATATATATATATATATATATATATATATATATATATATATATATATTGGTTTTGTTTAATTTATGATTTGCCTATGAATATTAGGGTTTGGTTTATGTTTCGTTTTGGTTCTGTTTTCTTCGTAATTCGCCCCCTATTGTTAGGGTTTCGGCTGGTATTCAATTTTTAGAAATTAACGCTTTTGTTGAGTGCTTATGTAATCTGATTGGAGAAATTGGTTGTGTGTTGTTGGGATAATTGTAGAAGTTGCACACAATGTGGAAATCTTGAACAAAGAAGAGAGAGTTTGGATTTTGAGTTCAAATAATGTGGATTTGAATGAGATTAGCGACCATCTGGACAATTGCGACTCCAATTCCCTGGGGAGTTGGAAGGATGGGGCAGATATGAATGATACGGCAGATACAAATTCGCTGGGAAGTTGGATAGATGTGGCGAATGGGTGGTTGGACCCTGTTGGTGAGTCCACCTCGACAAGCAGAATGACATGCTCCCCATCACATGTTGAAAGCCGGAGAGCAAAAATGTCGTGGGCTGAGATGGTGCAGGAAGATGAGCTTGAGGCAGAGGAAGAGAATGAATCAAATGGGCATGCGCTGTCAGGAGAGGTGATAATGGCAGCTAAGGACAGGCCGAAGCCGGAGTTATCAATCGATCAAAGAGAGTACATCCGGTTTAATAACGTTCAGAGAAAGAACGATTATATATGCTTGGAGCGAGTTAAAGGGAGAATTGTTAACATTCTTGATGGGCTGGAGCTCCACACGGGGGTTTTCAGTGCTGCGGAGCAGAAGAGGATCGTTGACTTTGTTTATTTGCTTGAGGAGAAGGGAAAGAATGGGCAATTGAAAGGTTAGTCCACCACTAGTCCATAAAACTTTGTGCAGTGCTTGTCATAATGCTTTAATTTTTTTTTTCTCTTACTTTACTCTTTACCGTATTTAATTGTTTGTTGTCATTAGAATCATGGTTTTTTGGGTTAAAGATTAGACAAGGTTTTTGTACATCGAATGATGACCATTTCGCTATCTTTACACTGCTTCCTAGGTCATCATTTACCTTATAATATGCTGTATGCTGTATGTCAAGGGAATTCAAGCAAAACTCAGGGTTTCTTGTGGGTGTCAAGTAATTGTATTATTTGTATATCCTGTAGAGCTAGTTCTATCTCAGTGTATTGCGCTTCATGGTATCTCTGACTTTCAACCTTTTGCTTAACTAGAGATTCTTAACTACTTGATCATTCCATTCCATAATCTATATGCATTAAATAATTGGATTCTTTGTTCTATTTTTAATTCTAGTTCTTTCTTTATTTATTTTTAAATGCATTTCGGTATTAATTTTGATAGATATGGGTAGCTTCACTGCTCTCATATAAGCTTGCAGTTTCTTACTAGGGTCATAAGTTGAAAAATAAATGAAATTATGAATTTATTATTTGTCTGACATCTACAAAAAGTTTCTTTTTCTTCTTTTTGGCATGGTACAAATTTTCGTCCTAGTTGTGACTCTATTAGTATAGCTGTTTGATCTTGGGGAACTGCTTCGAGATTTAAACTGGGTTTTCTATGGCATTATAAGTTAGAGCAATGTCCATCAGAAAATAACAATAATAGAAAACAGCACATTTAATATAGAATATGGTTTTTAATATTTGGCCGTAACATTACATGAAGGCATTTGGCGATACTATCACTTACAATAACATTGTCCTACTAAAATTCACAGCTTTGAAAGCTGTAATGGGCTGTTACATGCAGTTAAAAACCATTGCATACCATCACATTCTGTCGTGGCACCGTAAGTAGTTTCAGTGGGTAACAAATAACCGTCTGTCTGTCATGTTGGTTAATTAGATGATTAAGAATGTAATTTATTGTTGCTTTGCATATTAAGAGATGAATGTGCCAGTGGATAATGTGGCCGTGGATTCTAGACACGTCTGCATGTAGAATTTTAAAATTTAATTATCTAGATATTATTTTGGTTCTCCCTAGGAAGGGTGCTTTTCTTTCATTTTTATTGTCGTTCTTCCATGAACTGGTTGAGAAGCATCTATGTTTATGCTATGGCATTTATCCATTTGTATTGCTTTTTGCAGCGCGCACATATACTGCACCAGAAAAGTGGATGAGGGGCAAGGGGCGTGTGACCATCCAATTTGGTTGCTGTTACAACTACGCGACAGTAAGTTTCTCTTACTTTTTTCTCCAATTAATTGTTGACTTGTAAAATTTTTTAATCAAAGCTCTAGTAGATATGATACTTGTGTGACAGCTGTAGAATGAAAAAAGTGTGTAAAATGGATAGAAGAGCTTATGATTTCAAATTTTCAATACTGTGGCAGGATAAAAAAGGTAATCGCCCAGGCATCATGCGGAATGAAATTGTGGATCCTCTACCACATCTTTTTAAAGTGATGATCAGGAGGCTCATAAGATGGCATGTTCTTCCTCCATCCTGTGTACCTGACAGCTGTATCGTCAACATTTATGATGAAGGCGACTGCATACCTCCTCACATTGACAACCATCAGTTTGTTCGACCTTTTTGTACTGTTTCATTTCTGAGTCAGTGTAATATAATCTTTGGAACAAACTTGGAAGTTGTGGGTCCTGGCGAGTTTACTGGTCCTAGCGAAATCCCCCTGCCCTTGGGGTAAGTCTGATGTGCATACCAGCTTTCATGCATTTCCTGTTTGTTTTATTCCATCTACTGCATGCTATGCTTTTATTTATTATTTATTAAATTTAATTTTTGTTTCCGAGAAATCAAATTCTTCAAGTTGAAATTCATTGTTTTTCGTTCCCATCCAGATCTGTCCTTGTATTAAGTGGAAATGGGGCCGATGTGGCTAAGCATTGTGTGTCTG